CCATGCTGTGAGATAGTTTGAATCATCCAAACAAACAACCTCGTCTTACAAAAAATGTTCTGTTGCTAACAGGCAATGAGGCCAAAACTGCTTGTAGTCGTGTGGAAGTTAACTATTTTAAACTGATTATATTTGAAAGGAAATGCATGAAGTCCTTTCTCTAAATGCCTTCATGCCTGAATTTCCCAGTTTCTCCAGTTGTGGTGATAACCTGTCATAATTCCAACCATTGGTCCAAAAGTCCAAGCTGTGTTGAGGTATTTTCTAATCACAAAGAAAACCAAACCTGGGTTTCGTCTGATTTGGCTTGTTGGACCAAATTGTTGGCCTTTTGTTCCAGAAGGTCATCGTTTGGATGTTTGGTTGAGGGGAATTGTTCGCTCTTGGAATTTTAGTCTGGATCAAACTGGAAAGTTTGAAAGTCTAGATAAAAAATGTAAAAAAGCTTGCCATGAATAAACACACACTTATGACACTAAAGATAATAATAAAGTAAACGGTGAACGTGGAGACAATGAGAGAGGTTCTGTATTTTGTTGAAAAACAAGCCGCTGCATTGGACATTGGCTCTTAAATCAAGAATATTGGATATCTGGTTACGTTTGCCCTTACATTGCTTCCACTCGTCATGAAGGAGGAAAAGCATGAGGCTGGTGAGCTAGGGATGAAAATGTTGGCTGTTGGGTCATCATGGCTGTCCGAGCTATTCGGCCATTTTTCAAACTGCACGTTTAGCCGGCCGCTAGCGCCGTTAGCCTCCCCACCAGAGGTGCCTGTAGCTGCGTGGTGAAAGAGTCCTCCAATAACACACCGAACGACTGCAGAAATGTACACAGGAATGTCCAAACATAGGCAGATATGTAAAAACAAAGCATAGAAATAAACAAGCTCGGGACATAGTGAGACTAGGAATTATATAAATACATCTGTAGAAAAGAAGTGAAAATGGAGGGAATGTAAAAAAAATTAAAGAAATAAATACTATGAAAAAAGACTAAATGGATCATTACATTTGTGATTAATTATTAGAATGCTGACAAAGAAAACGAATAGCAGTATAAACGTATTAGAGGGACATATTCATGGATTAGGCAGAAACACAAGTTTAATTAACATTTCAGACAGGAATTAAGATTAAATTACTTTTGTGATGGCAGCTATCATCATTTTAGCCTATTTATTAAGTCATTTATATATTATCAAGTTGTCCATAGTGATCAGCCTTTGGTGAAGGACACAGGCAGGAAAAATGGAGCTGCAGGCATGAACGCGATAAAGTTTTCAAGACTGCTTTTGAACTGGCGTCCAGCTAACCAACATCTACCACGTACAGTTCCCAGTCCGTGTCCAGCACATGTTCCACTCACACTGCGCCGGACAGTGCACGCCAGTACGTCTCCTCCTGCGACCGTCTCCCAGCAAATGGCTGAGGGGCAGCTGGATTCCACAGATGGCATTTGAGCGGAGCTATTCAAAGCATTTCGACTACGTGACTGTTCCTTTCAGCAACAAGAGTTCCTCCACGCCACTGATCCATCATTTGCGGGAAGTAATAGCAATGACAAAGTGACGATCTTGTAAGAAAGAAAAAAAAGGAAAAATCCAGACGGAGTGTATATAATAACTGTTTGTAATTCCCTCGCCCAGTCTAGACATTTTTATATATTTTGTGCAGTTTGGAACTTTTTAGCAACAGCTCACATCTGCTTTATCTAAAACACAAGAAATCACCCCAAAACACTTAACAGTCATTTTTTTTGATGAACTCGTCTGCGCAGTAAGCCAATAAACACTCAGAGAATGTGCTTTTTGCATGCGCGAGACAAAGAGGTTTTACTGATTGCAGTAAAGAATTTATTTTTTTATTTTTTTATTTGCCGCATGCAGTGTCCAAATGAAAATGCGTATAGCCATCATTGGTCACCCGTCTGGTTGGCTGATGAAGTACAAAACGTGCACTCCGAGCTGCTCAAATTGGCGCACGAGTGTGATCTTCACTCCTCTTTGCACAAACATTGTGACACAGACGGATATATTTACAGACATGTGCGGCTCCAGACTGTTCAGATGAGACTTGTCATGCCTGTTGACATGGGGCCCAATTAAAGGGGAGGATTAAGCCGGGGCTGGGTGACCTCCTCAGGAATCTGTCCCAGACGCTGTGTGTACACTGTCAAATCCTCTGACAGACCTTCCCTTTAAGCACTTTCACCTGCTAATTAAGACACTGCCGTGTGTAAGTGTGTGTGTGTGTGTTTCTGTTTGTGCTCGCGCACCTGTGTAATTTGAGTGTGTGTTCATTCATAACTCACGCGCAGACCACAAGGAAAATGCACTTGCAAATGTCCAGGGCAAATTTGCAGCCTAAGAAGGCTCTGTGTAAATATTTGACTTGAGTATTGTGCAGGTTTTTTTTAGAGTTCGCTCCAGCTCGCGTCAGCGCACAGACCAACAGCCCTCATTTATTACTTTAAAATATGATATGTTTTGGAGTGCGCATCTCAGAGTCGTGTGTGGAAGCTCCTCGGCAACAAAAGTTTATGTCAGTGTTTACGGTGCAAAGAGGTTGAAATGGATAGCAGCGAGGCAGAAGGATCGAGGTGTTTGTGGACAAAGCTCTCAGCAGATTTTAGACAGTATGGAAAGAAAAAAACTGTAGACAGTCATACTATGAACTTAAAACATTGTGAAATCCAAAATCCTGATGGGATGTCCTAAAAAGCTGCCAAACGTGCTCTTTAAAATAATCGTAATGGGCCATTCCAGATCAGTTTAGGGATATACTAGAGCACACTAACACACGCAGCACCCAGACAGATACATTTATCTCATTCATCTCTGTATATGCAGAGATATACTGATTTCAGAAGTATGAGACCATTCAAAGTGACTTTAATGTATTTATTGAACCTTAAAACGTGAACATACAGTTAGTGCTGCTATATAAAGCATACAGCTGCCTATTCAGGGTGCAGAGTTGGGTTTATGGGGACCAACTATACTAACCAAGATGTGACTTCCACAACAAACAGAGTGCGATCACTATTTCAAAACGGCTAAAGACAGCTTAAAAAGGTATTAGCATTATCTAATATCAAGTGATTTACCATTTGCTCGAAGGGGCAGAATGAATCCTTGTTTTTCGGCCATTCACTGGTACAAGACCACACGTTTGGACCACGAGTTTGCATTTCAAATAAATTTATTAACACTAGCTGTTGTATAAAACACAATAAAGGCGCCCGTTAGCTGGAAAAACAAGACGTGCTCTGGGATCTGTTGGTTTTATGAGGGTAAACTGTGTCCCCGTGCAATGGTCTTCTACAGAAATTCAGATTACACATGACAGAAGGTCAAACATAAATTAGAAGAGCTGTTTAGAGGGATTTTTCCGTCATGGCTCAGGAACCACTTTGGTTGACAAAGACAGTCTGATTATTTAGAGCTTAATTAGTGGAGGTTTTTAGGGGGTTTGGGTTTGACCACAAGAGGACAAGAAAACTTATCACGGGCATATCAAACATTTTAGTTATATTGTTTAGTCAAAGGATTGTTTAGCACCCAACTAGACTGAAAGACAATCATTTTTAAAAGTACAGCAAAATCTTTAATGAGACTAGAAGACTAATTTCATACACGGGCACTTGTGAGTATTTAAACATGGGTTTTCACATCTTTAGGCATTTATAACAAACAAAGAATCATTAAACCACGATCAGTTGGGTTGTTGGTATGTAAAACACGACGTACATTGTCAGGACAGTAAGTCTGACTGGACCTCGTCCTCAGCTGTTGCACTGAACACTTTAATCTGCTTTTAGGGAGTCAGTAGCTATTAAGAACAACAGGCATCCAGGACTTTCACACCTGCTTCACAACAATGACGTGTGGCATTCCAGCATTTCCTTAGACGCCTTTAAACTTTTTAATGTTTTTTTTTATTTTTTACTTTCAACCTTATGTCGAACTCCATAAATCATTCCAATCGAAACCCAATAATAAACCAGTGCAGATCTTCAGGGGGTCCAGCTGCCGTCTGGTGTTGACAGACATCTCGTGGGCTTTGTACCACGTAGGAGGTTCAGCTGGCGAGCGCCGTCCTCAGAGGAGATCAGGCTCTGAGCTTAACTCGGCTCGGACAAATGTCCAGCCGGTATGTGGAGGCTAAGGGAAGGATCGACCCGACAACATAAACGGTCTGAGTCTCAGCTGCCAGGCGTCTGGGCGAGCAGCTGATTGGTGGAGCTGACAGACGTTCGGACGGAACAGAGGAGCTCCTCGCAGGGCAGCCCTCGTCCGTCGTCAGTGGACCGGTGATTGCCGTAAACAAATGAAGGAGTCTCACAATTTTGGCCCAGCTTCTACTGAAAAGAACACACAACACTTCAGCAGTCAACCGAGGCCCAAATACGTTGTTTTGGTTTTTGTGTTGACATCACAGACTGACCACCAGATCAGTGAGAACTACTGGACCAGTCTCCTCAGTCTCCCAGAAACTTTCTCTTTTCTTAACATCACCAGCTCAGATCATCAATGGCTCAGATTTCTTGAAGCCAAAGCATAATTTTTCATGTTACCCATACTTTTGACTGCTCGGCTTTTCCTCATCATCCCTCTAAAATCCTAAGGGATAAAAAAACTGTTTATTGTGCGTTGCTAATTGCAGTCAAAAAGAAATCCATCCAAACAGTTTTACTCTGTACGTGCACTTTAAAGTGGCCGTCTTTCCTGCATTTCTCATTTCTTGCTTCTACTGCTGCTCCCCTCTGCCCATGAATTGCTATCTTGATCTCCTCTCCCATGCACAGTAACTCTCCCTCTCTCTTTCCTCTAATGACAGTCAGCTGGGCTGATAGGCAGATATATTTACACTGGTGGCAAGGGAGGAAGAAGTCATCAGCCAAGCCTCGCTCTGCCTCCGGGCCCGGGCGGGCGGGGCTTGGAGGAAGCCCTTGCCGGCTAGCCCCTCCCTGAGAAGGGCATATCTCTGCGTGTTGTCCCTGGCCCTGCTCAGAGCTCTCAGCTAGATATAGGACCAAAGCCTCGCCGGCCTGCAGACTCACACGCTCGCCACATCAGCTTCTGCGGGGAGAGAGCAGAGCAGAGGGGGAAGCGGCAGCTGGAAAGTGGAGAGCCGCTGCTGGACAGCACACTGACTGAGAGACCGAAAAAAAACCCAGCAAACCTGCCTTTTTGTTTTTTTTTCAAATCAGCTTTTCTCTGAAGGTGTTAATGAGGAAGCCGGAGCCAGCTCCATCTCATCTCAGTCTGCGGTCCACGGCTGGCCGGCCAGGTCAAAGTGTGTACTGCTTCTTGAGTGTGTGTGGCTTGTTTTCGCAACTTGTGAACCCTGGAACTGTACTGTGAGCATTATGACTCTTCTGGGCTCTGAACACTCCATACTGATACGAAGCAAATTTAGATCAGGTAAGTCCAATGCTGGCCAATGGCTTCCAACTTTTGTGCTTTCCTGTTTTTCGCCGAAACTTTCTCTGTGCGCTTCTTCTCGATTGCGTTTGATTTGCCGACACATGGCGTTTTCTACCCGCATTTTGTCGTTCCTCCGTCTTTGGGTTGTGTTGACACCCGCGCTGTGCTCCTCAGCACCACCAGCCCAGCGACAGGTGTATGCAATATGCTGCTGGCATGTGATGGGACGGGAATGCCGGAGGGAGGCCAGCGTGAGTCAGAAGTGCTCCCCAGCCCAGCAGCACCTCGTCACTGTGTGATGGATTTACAGCTGGGTGTGTTCTTTGATGTCCACCTGCCTTATTGGAGCGGGGGAGCTTGTGAGGGGTGGCACGCCGTGCAGCCTCGTGCACTTGTTTCCTCCCAGTAGCGAACCTGCTGCTGCTCGCGGAAGTCATTCAGTCCTCTGATAAAAGGAGGGAGATTAGACATTGGAAAGGGGTCAAAGGTTATCTAAATATGGCCGTACTGGAAACCGATGTGTGTGTGTGTGTGTGTGTGTTTGTGTGGCTGTATACCGTGGTAAACCAAAGAGGGAAGGCTTATTTCAGTTCCCGCTGACACGCATCAGATGTGGCTTTGGATCCATCGATCTGTCTCACATATAAGCTCTTTCTTCATTTACTTTGAAGATACAGACTGTGAGCCCGAGTGTGTGCCTTTGAACTGCAGCATGTGTAGTCTGACCAACACTGCCACCTCCCTGAGGAAAATATAACTGAGAGTGGCAGCAACAACAGCCACTGTGAGACTTATTGTACACGACGGCCTGTGAGAGTAGATGTATGTGCTGCTTTGGTTATGTGAATGAAGGCCCTCCGTGGCTCCGCTTCCTAATCCCAGCGAGCCGTAATTGCGTTCCAGAGATGGCGGGCTAAATGACGCTTTTCCTCTGAGCTCATTTAGGGCTCATCAGCAGGCTGGGAAATGACCCTCTGATCTATTGGGACCATGAGAGGGAGGCTTTTCAGCATTGAAAAGCGGTAGGAAGTTTGCAGAGGTAGCTCAGGGTCTGTGTTGCTCTAACCCGTGCGCTCCGACCGGATAATGTGACACAGATGTACAGATGCTGTCTTCTGCGTTTTACGGAGGACCTAATTCTGGGCGATAAAACCGAAACCATCGCGGCCGCATGAGCTAAATTATGAGTGCACGAGGGAGCCATTGTGCGTAAGAGAAGTAAAACTGCCCATAAATCTCAGTGATAACTGCTGATGACAGGGGGAGTTGAAGATGCTCTGGTTGTGCGCGATTTACAGTTTTCTTTAAGCTGCAGCAGCTCGGGTAACGTTCAGCACGCCGGGAAAGCTGGCGAATGTTTCTCTTTCCCCTTCCACGCTTAAACTACCGCGGCTGCTTGGTTGAAGCCTGTGGGGCGGTCACGTCTCAGGAGGAAGATTCAAAGGTCCGCGGTTCGATTCCCAGCTTACCCTGAAGTGTGGTCGGGCAAGTTACTGAGATTTATCTGCGTGTGGATGGGAACATGACAAAAATAAAATAAAAACTGCATAGTGTTTAGAGTGCGTTTATATAGGAACGTTTCTTTTACAACCTAGATGAGGTTTTCATGTTGTTTGACAAATAGCTTCAGCTGGAATTTCTGAAGCTATATCACAAACCACTCACCTTCTTACTGTACAACACTGAATGGAAAAGCATGGAAGATCATTTAAGATGCCCTCAGATGGCTGAAGCAGGTTCTACCCTGCTGTTCATATTGTGAGCCATGGGCAGCAAACTTCCACTGACAAGTGATGGCCCCTCTATAGGTACAAAAAAGCCGCCACCCCCTTTCACACAAATCTGCATCACCTTACCAACCTGCTGTTGATAACAAGTCACCGTCAGCAGAGCTGCCACAGAAAGGTGGACCTGCACCTTATTTGGAGTATTAGACCAGAATAAACCGAATACTTCTTTCAGGAATACCTGTTTATGAGAAGCTTAGCAGTCGTGCTAATACATCTGTCGGAACCCCGCTCCTGCCCGTGCTTAGGAAAGTTCAGAGAATACAAGAGACAAATGTAAACAGTTACATTGGCTCCGTGGTTTGAGTGTAAAAAGCGAGGCGCAAGTATCAACCTGTTTCATTTGTGTGAGGCAAAGAGGGACGATAAATCAGAAAATCACTCGGCTGGTTTGTGTAATTATCTCCACTTCACCAGCCCAAAGCAGGCCAAACGATCATTTATTTACATCATAAATCTGAACGCTTGTAAATGCGGCTGTCGATTTGTATGTCCTTTGTTGTCAAGACACTCCAAGTTGAAACAAATGTCTTGAGTTTCAAAGTCAACAGAGCGAGAGGCGGAGCGTGGTTGTGCATTTAAACGGCCTGGACGGGTTCCACCCTCTATAACATGTACACCCCACGCAATCAGGACAGGCTACGCATGGGTCTGTGCAGAGCTCTCTGGGAGACAGAGCAGATTCTGTGGCAGCTGCGGTGCTTTTACAGGCCGAGTTATTGATAACCTGTCAGTAAACACAACACAGCGGGGTTTCGTTTGATTTTCTGAGAAATTTGCGAGACACAAACCTGCATGTATGGACAAGATTAAGGCTGTTACCTGACTGAAATATGAACTCGCCTTATCAGCTTGCGAGCAGCACCAAAACCGAACAGAAGAATGCTTTAGAGTTTAATGTTTTTGGCTGGATGAGGTGTGTTAGAGTGAAGTAGGACAAATTATGCGTTTGCTCTTTCAACCAACATTAACAACTGAACATCTTTTAGAGCCCCATTCCAGCACCTATCAATTTAATCCAAACCCATTTCATATCCAAACATGAAAGCTAGTTGTGCATGATCAACACTTTTTTTTGTCTATGCTAATCTGGCCTTATCTCCCATCTCCAATTCCTATCTGTATAGCCCCTGTCTGCTATACGCTGACCAGCTGCTTGAACCAGGAAGTGATTCTAAAGATGAGGACACCTAACTGCATAGGCTTCATGTAAGCAAGAGCCTCAGAATTGTACTGTAGTCAATTTAAATTACTTTAAAGAATATCAGCTAGCAGTATTTGCTAGCTGGTAAACGGTTGGCTGCCTTAGCAGCTTGGCTGGCTCATGGCTCAACTTTTACCTGTTGTAGGTGAAACATGTAAAGCATCTGACCATGCCTCTCTATGAGGTGCTCTAAAGAGTCAGAACATAAATCCACTGACTGCTCGATTATAGCAGAATGAGATATCAAACAATAAAGATAGCCCAAAAGTTAGCTGAGACTAACAGTAACATTCGACATGTCACCTGGCTTTTTCCAAGACATAAGAGACCAAACTTGCTTGTAGGTAGATGTTTGCTAGTGGATGACAGAAAACCTTCCTGGACAGCAGTGGTATCAATTACAGGTTTTGGCTTCCAGTCAGCAACTAATGCCTGTCTTTGCTCTCTGTGATGTTGTGACCAGCAGATCACGACCCCCTTGCTGTAAACTAAAGCAGATGTCGGCCGAAGGGAAACCACAGGCCCAGTGTTACATAACGGAGGTGCTCTTCCACGATGAAACAATGAGCTGACGTTAGTCAGTGTTCAGAAAGCTGTTGCATTACATCAAACCTGGAGGATTTCGGCGAATTCCTGAAATGTGCAAACGCAGCCAGGTCGGCGCGAATGAAAACCACCTGAGCAGGATAATTAACAATAGGGGAGACGAGTAGAAAGTGATTAGGGTCTTGCAGAGGAGGAACATTTCATACTTATGTGTCAGATCCAGGATCTAACCAGGAGACCTTCAGATAACAGCGGGGAGGGAAAACACACACAAAGAAAGAAAAGGAAAGCTAAAGACACACAGACGGACGTAAGCAGACCAACAGACATGGAGGAGGCTCTATGTTTATGACCCCGAGCTCCCACCTAGACCACTTCTACGCACACGCACACACACACACGCAGACGGAGGAGAAAAGCGTGCTCGTGCTGCGGACCACACACAGCCAGGAGCTGTGTTTATCATTCCCTACATCCTGCTCGCAGAAATATTTGTGAGCGGGCGGCGTTGTTTTGTGTGCATATGTGTGTGTTTACCGTATGCATGTGTGTACATGTATGCGGACATGCTGATAGCGCGCACCAATGCAGATCAGCATGGGCATCCTCGGCCTGGAGGAGAAGGGGATTCATGCTGGAAATATTCCGAAAATTGCATTTAAAGAGAGCTGGATTGTCAGTCTCTTCCTGCTTTTTCTCTCTGTCCCCTACCTGTCTCCTCACGACTCTTTCCTCTCTTCTTTGGCCTCTTACTCCCCTCCCCCCCTGCCCCCTCCAATCTTCAGTGCTACGGTTAAGACTTCAGCAGAGGAGGACACGAGAGCAGCTGGCAGACCAAGGCATCATGCCTCGTGAGTAACGCCTTCCAACACTGAGCTGCTGCACTCAAACACACACACACACACACACACACACACAGATACACACACACTCTGCCCTTCACCTCCCTGCTTTCCGTCTGCCACGGGTCAGACAGGCAAAACGGAAGAACCGGGAGAAATTCTGGCCAGGAGAAAGATCCCACCATCCCGACTAATTAGCAAAAGACACAGCAGCCCACTGACTCAGGTTGTTTAGATTTGATCTGTCTGGGTCTGAAGAAAACATTTGACCTGATTTCACCCAGATACAATCAAAGCAAGTAGCTTTACCTTGCAATTCTTAAAGCACTTCAGACTTTGAAGTGCTCAGATGTGTTTCCAGTCATGCATTGTAAAGCGGTCAATGGGAACTTCACCTCCTTTGCAAAAGACCTGCTCTGGAAAAATGTCAAGGAAATGTGTAACCTTTGGTGGCCTTGACAACAACCACTTATTAAAAGTGGAAACAATATGCCATTCATGACAAATTATCCTTTTTTTCCCTTTTTTTTAACGATGATCAAGTGGTTTCTACTAACTACTCCAAAACGAATTATGTTATTGTCAACCAGGAAGTGACAAAAGCACTTTGAGAAACTCGTGGTACAGTATTTTCCTTTTTGTGTTGGTCCACATAAGCTACTGAATATATTTTTATATTACTTTGGGTAAGTATGAGGATGTTTTCTGTTCAGAACAATATAGTTGTTTTGGCCTCATTTTACAGCTAGCTTAGCTTTTTGTGCGTCAGTCGCATGGCCTGGAGTTGTTTTTCCAACCATGTGATTTAAGCCAATACTGAGACCTGAGCCCAGCCCACTGGAGTTTGAATATCTGTTGTTAATCGTTTGTCTTCAGTGAAGTTTCATTGAGTTTGGGCAAACAGTTTGGTTAGATATAAGGAAAATCTCATTGTTTTGGGACAAAATGAATGAAGTAAAACTATTCACAAATCATATTCATGTGACATCACCAGCAGGAAACCACTTCCTATAATTTCCCTGAAGGAGTAATCCCAAAGGATAGATAACGTTTAGTCTAAGTCTATAAGACTGTATTATTTGGGCCTAATTGATCAGCTCTGTCTTTCAACAAGACTTCCGACGCTGGTAAAGGAAAGACTGACAGCAGCAGGTAGCTAAGATGCTAACCTGGGAATTGTTGTTCTTCTGTAAATAACTTAAGAGTAGGGTCTGACCTGCTCTATTTGGAAAGCGCTGTGAGATAACTGTTGTTGTGATTTGGCGCTGTATAAATAAAATTGAATTGAGTCGAACCTCTAAGGTGCCAGAGGTTTTAAAGCAAGGTTCATCCAAACTCCGCGGCTGGGTGAATCCAAATGGACCCAGGGAGAGCAGGTGGATGCACAGAGAGGGAGCGGGGAGAGGGAGACAGGCTGACTGTGGCGGGAGCCAGCGCGCAGGCAGACAGGCGGCGAGTGACCGCTCAGGAATGCTCTCCTGTTGGAAGAGGCCCTCTGCCTCAGAGCAGCCGCTGACTCTCGGGGAGAGCGTACCTGTTTACAGCGCGGCGCTGCACCCAGAGAGCCCGGGCCCGCCCGAACGCCGGGCCGCCGTTTACCAGGCGGGGGCTTTGTTCTTTCACTGTCACATAAGTCACGGCGAGGAGAACGCGTAGACCCGAGCCTTCTCCTAAATCCACCCCTGTTGCCGCGATTTACGGCCTCCCGTGCGCTTCAGGTCAGGGCAGCGCCGCAACGCGTGCAGATATTGTGTTTAGATTCCACTGCCAACACGCAGATCATAAGGAATAAATTCTAAATATTCCTGACAACGCAGTGAAGACTCCACACTGCCGACAGGCCCTTTAAAGCTCCGCTGTGTCATCCATCCAGACGTGGAGCAGCAGTGAGAAATGGCTGTATTTTTTGTTTGTTTTCGGTTTTTTTGTTTTGTTGTTGTTCTTCTTTTGCGGTTCCTCGCCTGCACCAACAACAAGGGGACTGGGGGGGACTTGGACTGCAGACCAGGGATTTGTTGAATGATATCTCTGGCACCGTTTGCCATTTCACAGAGGCTCCAGCGCTCAGATAAAACCGCTGGTAAGTGTGCGGGGGAACGGAATCCAGAGGCCCGAGCAGGCCATATCAGTTTCTAGGAGTCTGTCACAGATAAGGCCAGCGCGGAGAAACGCGATTGGCCGGCGGGAACCTAAGAGCTCCTTTTAAAAAAAGAAATTTCAATTGGCTGTTTATCTCTTGATTGCAGGCGGCGGCGCAGATGGAGGAGCGGGCGCAGGCGCTCGTAGCTGCGCCGTTTGTCGGGACTTTCCTCGCAAAGCCGCACACTAGATGTCTTATCGCTCTTGGAAATGTCCTCCCACCGTTTACTGTCTGCGCCCCCCCAAAAATAAGCCATGTCTGAGGGCATCCTCCTCCTCCTCCTCCTCCTCCTCCCACTGCTGCTGTAGATGTCATCCCTTTAGATGCTGGCCGGCTCTGCTTGACCTTGTTATTCCTGCTGGGGAGATGGACACGGCACAGGGTCTGTGTATATATTATCCAGGGAACATCTGGTGTTTATTAGACTATTCAAGAATCCGCCCGGGCCTCTTGGGCCTGACTGGCGTGTGGCCTGCATAGAAGCGCGCTGTCTGCCTGCTGGCCACAGGTCTGACTCCACACACACACACACACACACACACACATGCACACATACACATCCAATCTAATATTTCCTCATAAAGATAATAGAGCTGCAGCGGCGGGCTCCCTGAGCGTTTTCCCGCTCCGGTTCTGAAATGTGCACCGCCACGGCCACAGCCTTTTAAGCCTTCACTGGATGGAGCCAGAAAGAGAACGGCTCCCCCTGATGTAACGCCTAAATGTGACCAGCACGGGCGGCAGGTCCAGGCTCTGTGACGGGTCTGAGGTCTGGGATGTCCGGGTCACGTTACAGCGTGCTCACACACCAGTTCTCCACCAGCCTGGAGTCAACAGTTTAAAAACACTTAAAGCTCCAAACATCTGATGTCACACCAGGCAGAGCTCTAAACACATGACCAAAACGCCCCCCCCAGTTCTCCTCTGTCCTCCTCCTCCTTACCTGAGGGTCTTCATTTTCTTTTATTCTTCATTCCACCTTTTCTTGTTTTCATTTCCTTCTTTTTTTCTTTGAAATACTTAAAACATTCATTCATATTATCATATTTACAGTACTTTTTGTAACTTTCTTACTTGTACTATTTCTATTTACTTTGTTAGTTATGTCTTACTCACTTCTTTGTTTCTTTTTGCTTGTGGCATTTCTCTCTTTTACCTTTCTCTTATTTCGGTTTATTTTCTTTCTCTCCTACATCCTCCCCTCCCTTTTTTTTTTTTTTACAAGGCTATACTATATTTATTTATCCTTTTTGCTCATATTTATCACTTTTGAACTGTGAAAGACGACGGACCATCTCAGTTTCATCCTCCATTCCACAGTTATCTCCTCCTCTGGGGACAGTAACAGATGTCTCATTTGAATGAGACGTCAAGCAAAATATTTGCTTTATTACAAAGTTTCCATCCATCATTCACCCATCCATTTTCTATACCGCTTATTCCCAGCAAGCTCACAGAGGGCTATCCCAGATTACAAAGGGCGAGAGGCCTGGTACCACATGGACAGTCTATCACAGGGCCACACAGAGACACACAACCACCCACACTCACGTTTGCTCCTAGGAACAATTTGGAGTGTCCATTACCCTAACATGCATTTTTTTAACGGTGGGAGGAAGCCAGAGTACCGAGAAGAACCCTCTTAGAGGCAAGGACAGCATGCTAACTCTACAACCGGGAACTATTCCAATTATTTTTTTTAAACTATCTTAATCTTCCTCATTAATCTTAATTTAGATGAAAAAGCTCTTTTATTCATTAAATTTCACATCCATTGTTTTAATCAGACGGTATCACTCCAGCTCAGATGTCCAGCACAAAAACTCCTAATCTTTTTTTTCCTCTTGGCTCAAAATCCCAGGTCCATCCCTCAGAAGTTTCTCACCAAAATGATGCTTGACCAAATAAGTGCTGTTGCTCTTTCTCGCGCTCAGATAATCAAACTGATTTGGTTTCTCTCTCCACTGCTGGTCAATCGGCCAGGCGAGGATCGCAGATAGAATGTGGTCCGAGCCAGGTTAGCGCTGATTATTTATCCTGGATTTAACAGAGCCATATTGTGGAAGGTGGAAAATCTCACCCGCTGTAGGCTTTTAATTACCGCCTCCCCATTTATTTTTCTAACACTCTCAAGAGTCTGGCTGCAGTTGAGCTGCTGGACACGCCGTGGAATGGATTCAACATGGAAATTGAATTTTTGAAGAAAAAAGGAAGCGTGTTCACTGGGAGAAGTGACAACAGAGCGCTCATAGCACAGATAGACAACATTGTGATCATGGAAGTAAAGAAATAAGATGGATAAAAAAACGAGAAAAGCTAAAGATACTAAAACGAAACATTAATATTAGCTAAAACGGTTGTTATGTTTGAATACTAAATAATATAGCACTCATATTGTTGAATAAACAGAGTTCCTACAGCTATAGTGTACATGGTTAATGCATATGAAAGGTTTGCAGGTTTATGTATGCAAAGCTATATTTGTTAAATAGAAACAATTAGCTTATACGCTGACAGACTCACAAAGCCCAGAAGTTCTGACACTTTTTTGTGTGAAGTCATAAAACAAACCTGCGGGCAGTACAACATGATCAGGCACGAGGGAAACGCTTCACTTGTAATATTAGTAGAAAATTTGTGAAAATAGGTAAGATGTATAAAACATTTTAAAGTGCACACACAAATAAAAAATACAACCATTTATATTTTTGTTACCATGTGTGTTTTACAAGCAAGTTTAGGGGTTAGAAATAATGATGTATAAGAGACAAGGGAAACTTGATGGCATGATGGCAAAAAGAATTTGCCATCATGAGGAAGTGTTGACAAAATATCCACATTGTCATCATGGCATCCTCTGAAGGATTGTCATCAACTCTTACTGGTGCCTTTGCATCAGCACCAGGTCACTCTCAAGTTTCAAAGTACACATCAAGGATGGATTCAGGCTGATATTCCAGCTAATGTGTTTTAAGCCACTAAACTTTGTCTGCCATTAGACCAACATCTCCTCTGTTAGGAGCATAAGAAGACATTTAATACTGTTGTCACTTCCTGGTTGGATTTGGCCGATAACATCACACGGTTAGGTTTAGAAATCACCACTGTGCTAGGTTTGGCACAGTTAAAGTTAAAGTTTAAAGTTTTCTGGACTACCCCAACACGTGCAGTAGCTCTAACAACCTCATGGGCATGGGCAGATTTTAGGAAGGAGGACCATGTCGATCTGGGAAAATTATTAGAGTATACTATGTTAGTGTATCTGTGACCCTCTGTAAGACTTTTTTAAACCTCCGTGATAGGAGCTTTAATATGGAACGGTTCATTGAGGGTTCAGAGTGATATATCTATCGATCACACCTGACCACATTCAGGACAATCCACATGATTTTACATTTCACTCTCATTACAAAGCTGACGAGGAATATAAGATAAGATTGTCTTGCCCACAGTTCTGATCTGTCCCCAAGAGAGACTGTGGAAAATTTAGAAAAATTCAAAGCTATTGCATACCTTGATGCATATTTCTTAAAAAATGGGGGAAAATCCTCACAGTGCAAGAACATTGAATACGTATAATCAAATCATATTAGACCTGATGAGATAGATTCACAAAAAAACATCAAATAGAGTATCTGATGTTTGTAAGTAGTACACTGAGATGTTAAATCAGTCTTTAACTGTTTACTTTGTTGATGGTCCTGTTCTGTGTTGTCCAGACCCAGCCTCTGAAGGCTCCTCTTTAAAAGCCCAGATGAGGCTAAAGCGGGCCCAGCTCGCTGAGGACCTGAATGAGAAGCTGGCGCTCAGGCCGGGACCCCTCCAGCTGGTCCAAAAGAATATCATTCCTCTTGACCCTGCCATCACAATGACAGGTATAAAGAGAGAGAGAGGCTGCCGACTGGTCTAACACACCGTCTGCACCTCAACCTGTGTGGCTCCACGTTTGTTTGTTTAGCAGCTTTAGTTTGTTTTCTGCTGGGAAACATTCAGTTCTGTGTGTGTGTGCGTGTGTGTGTGTGGTGGAGAGAGAGAGATGCATGTTAATTCAATTCAGTGTGACTGTAATCTATGTAACACATAGTGCTTGATGCTCTGCTGGATACAGCACATTTACACCATGTTCTCCTAGAAAATAAGTTCTGAGGAGGGTTTACCTTCAAAGCTTATATTACAGTTATATATTCAGTTTCTAAAATCATGTTATATTCCTAGAAGGCAACATCCAAATTGACTTTTCAAAGAACTCATTATCATTTCGCTTTGGTCATTAAACAGACATTGACAAATCTCATTGATATAACCAGCTAATAACTGACCAGTTTTTGCCATTTGCTTGATTTACTTGTTACGATTCACATTCAGGAGATGTGAGAAAACTTCATGCAAGGGGAAAAAATATTCTATCTGGATATATGGTTTTTGTCTTTTTTGGAGACAACTGTGAACATTAGAGGTAATAAACTCAGGTATTTTTTTCCCCAATTAGCAGAAAACCATTTAAGAAAGAACTGAATTAAGAATATTTTATGATATATTTAAAGTTTTGTAACTCGACTTGAAAATTTGGCTTCTTTTTCTAATAAATTTGATGTTGGAAATTCTCATTTCCTACTATATTGGATTGCAATTTAAAACACCAAAAAATTAACTTGATTACAAAACTTTTATTTTATATTAGTCTGTATATTAGTAGTCTGTAGTCTGTATAACTGAATGATTCCTTTCTTACTCTATTTAAACTCCAGTTAGCGATGGAATCTCCAATACAAATGTACTGGTTTCCTTTTCTTTTATTTAAGTCAAACTTCTAATTTCGTGAAAATTGTTAACTTATATTACTTGTAAGAAAAACAAAAACATATTTAACTTTTAGCACGCTCTTCCATAGAAATTCCAACTCGTTTCTTCATAAAGTTTTATCACCGCAGTGCTACAAAACCTACGGGAAAGGTCCTTTGGTCTCAGTGAACTGGGTGTTTGGAGAAGCTTTTAGATGTCCACCTCCACCAGAGTTTGATTTAAGGAAATGTGCAGCATGTGAGCATGGCCGCTGCCATGAATAAGCTTTGTTTAGAGCGTCGGGCTTTAACTGTTCCACTGCACCGTTCCAACCACACAACGTGCCACCCGTTCTCCCTCTACCACTCTTGGCAGAGTGAGTGGTGTCCTTTACACTCTGGTGTTTCAGCGGTTTTATGTTTGCCCCCATGAGCTTCCAGTAAATCGGCCGCGTGGAGGAGCCGGCAGGCTGCAGTCAGCTGCTCTTTACGGGAGGACCACAGCTCCTTTTATTGAGATGAGCAGCAGCTGTATTTGGTTCCAGCCTCTTTCCTCAGAAGTGTTTTTGGGTCGGGCTGCTACCTTGTGTGCAGGCGCATCCTCAAAGCTGTACCTGTGTGTGTGTGTGTGTGTGTGTGTGTGTGTGTGTGTGTGTGTGTGTTTATAGCGACAGCCTGCTCCTTTCTTTTGTGTCTGTTTCATCCAGCTCCAGAGGACAGCTCTGTGACAGAGACACACTGCTGCGCTCCCCCTCACCCGCGAGCATTAACCCCTCACCCCAAAACTCTCTATTGTACTCAACACTCCCAGTGACTGGGACGGCCTCGGCTAATTTTGGAAACGGCATGACCTCTAACCGCCCACTTGAGAGGCGGAAGTGTGTACAGCGTGCCGATATCCTGTAATTCTGCCAACTCAATCTTCTGGTGACATAAAATGAACTTAAAGACTCTCAGAAATGGGGAGAGAAAAGCGCCTTGGTCTGTGTGACTGCTAAGAGTTAACCATGAACAGGTGGAAGGAAATGGCACTGAGGACAACCTTGTGTACTAAGCTGTGTGTGTGTGTATGTGTGTGTGTCTGATTGTGCGTGCTTGTGTATTGCAAGGTCACGGGGTTGCAGAAAAAGTGAGCCTGGTACTGTGATTGAAACCAGGGTCTGTTCCTGCCTGTCACATGTTTGGATACAGAAGGAGAATCTTATACCTCTATCCCAACACACAAACACACACTCACACACACAGACCAACCTGAGCCCCCCCCTCCTACCCCCGGCTCTGTCCCCTCAGCCCTGTTAGATAGCTGTTCTCAGCAGCTCCAATCAAAGCCGCCGCCCCTATCAGAGCAGCCAATCAGGAGCGCGCTGGAGGTAAAGTGGCTGTGTCGGCCTCTCACCCGCACAGCGTAACACCTCCTGGCTGAGTGTCGCACAAGGTGTTGGTGACAGATAGGCTGTGTGTGAATACGTGTGGCATCATACGTTGTTTGTAACGTCCAGTGATTTGCATCCACCAGTAGAGCAGCAGATCTGTGGCCCCTCCCGTTTATCTCAGAACGCTCAGCGAAATACACATCAGTGTAGCCACTGAATCCCCCCTTTAGCTTGAAGATGCTAAAGCAATATTTTCCACCACCACTGAGTTTCTGCTAATGTTGAAATGGCTTTAAAAAGCCACGATGGGAACCATGTTGGGGTTCATAATCATGGGTTCTGGAGTTTAATTGTGTGTTTGTGTCACCTAGATATAGTTATGCAAAAGTTTTGAGCCATCCCCTCATGTCCTTATAATTGCAAGGAAAATTGGAAATGGTTGCAGATGACATTTATTTTTATACAAAACATCAATGGAAATTAGATATAAGAGGCAAAAACCGCAGTTGTAAAATGAAAATGTTGTGTTTCGATCAATATTTGGTCCTGGGGCTCTGGGGAAGATTCATCCCTCCATCTGACCTGTTGCCTCTGATTTCCAGTCCACTTCTTAGATAAAGCCCTTTTTTCCGGTTTCCAGTGATCTGCCAAAAGCTACACTAAATCTACAATTAATTATCATTCATTTATGTTTCAAAGCCAACAAATAGAGCCTGAAGAGAATGTAATATATCCTCACATAGTTGTTGAGATGCACCTGAGAATTGGTCTTATTTTTTTAGTTAAAAGACTACAGTCAGCTTACCTGTAAGAAAGACACATTTTGACATCAAAATGACTTTCTGATTCATGTTCATCCGTGGTTCTTTGTGTAATTAGGCACTGTCAGTTTGGAAGCTGAATCAAAGAATGCTACCTCGGCTAAGTCAGAGACTGAGATCAATGGATTTGTTGATGTTCTCAAGTCTCATATGGAAGCGTTGCCATTTTTTGGTTTGCAGTGGGTGTCAACATTTGTCAGCCTTTCCATTTCACAGCTGGATTTTTGTCTGTAGAATGCTGTGGTGCTGTAGTGATTGAGCCGGATGCCTTAACCATTAGCGTGGTTTTCTTGGAGTAGTAATAAAAGCACAGATTTGCATGTTTATTTTGGGTGGAAATGGGATTAAAGTAGCGCATGCCACCTCGCTGACCCCCCCCACCTATCCATCTCTCTTTTGCTGTCTTTACAGTAAACCATGGAAAGTTCCCCAAGCCCGAGGACTCGTACGCGTTTGAGGAGGACAGCAGCAGCGAGAGTCTGTCCCCGGAGCAGCACCACAGCGACGAGTCCCAGAGCTCGGCCTGCCCTTCGTCTGAGGCTGTGGGGAGCACCGCCTCCTCCTCCTCCTCACCTGCCCTCACCAGCCCCAGACAGGTGAGAGAGGTGGCCCCTTCCTCTGCCAGCAGGAGCCACCGCTTAGTCTCTATTGCCCCCCTGTGGTGGCAGAGCAAACTGCGTCCCCCCCCCGTTTTCTGCTGACCGCTGGACTGAGTTGAACTCAGCAGGTGGCAAATTCCTGCAGCGCTTAGCTGTCACTCGAAAGACCTCGTTCCAACATTTGCCATCAACAACGGCCATTTGAATCAAATTCACACATAACACAGTTGTTTGCTGAGAATCAGGATCAGCTTTCACAGTGACATTAGCACCATTTGGAATACTTTGGGAGGGGAAAGCATCATTTGTACAAATATTGCTGTCAGTTTGGTGCCAAGCCATCTCCCTATCAGCTCCACTCACTACTTAAACCTTAAAAGAAATTTTAACATTAAAGATACTAAAGAAAATATGGAAAGTGTGACTAAAATCTATTGACATTTAATCAAATATTGTGTATTGTGTATTGCGTATTTGATGGGTGTTTTTATAAATTAGAGGCCTGTTTTTAGATTTTGGGACTATAAGATGCACCACTAAATGTTTTAAGGGCACTTTATCTGCATTTTTCATGAGCACTACAGCTTTGTCCACATCTGAGACATATTTTAGATCAAATCTACTCACAGTTTTTAGTTCTACTGAAACAATCCTGCATTTCTGAACTGAGACTTCTTCATATTTTGTAAGTTCTGTCTGAGTTATGACTGTAGCTCAAATGCTTGCTTGTTGAATAATTCGATTCCCACAATTTCCTGATTTTATTTGTTTCATTTTGACCTTTTCAAAATTGTAAATTAGTGGGTAAATAACAGCATTCTCACAATGACTGTGTAACTGATAGTACTGAACTCTAAAAGTTATGGAATGCATTCTCTGTCCCGTTTCAACAGTCAAAGATGAAACACAAGAGTGTTACATATGCATCAGTTCTTGCATTCTGAGAGCAGGTCAGCTTTCAGTAGTTAGTGGTATGTTAATAAGCAATCATTGTGATTTATTGGACAGGGCTGCACAAGTAGAGACCCACCTGATCAAAGCCAGGAAGAAGGATTGTCCTGTACCAACGACAACCAGGCAACTCCCCCAATACCAGTTCCCGCTATAGTCAAGGTTAGCCTATTGGTCCTTCTTTTACTTTGACTCATTTTAGAGCTTTTCATGGTATTGTCACGCTTAACCTCCTCTCCCTTAACAGTCCAAGACAGCCGACAAGAACCGACACAAGAAGCCCAAAGATGTGAAGCCCAAAGTGAAGAAGCTGAAGTACCACCAGTACATTCCTCCGGACCAGAAGGCGGAGAAGTCCCCCCCGCCCATGGATTCGGCCTACGCCCGCCTCCTCCAGCAGCAGCAGCTCTTCCTGCAGCTGCAGATCCTCAGCCAGCAGAAGCACGCTCACACTCACCCGCAGACCAAGCAGCAGCAGCCGCAGCAGCAAACACACACCCCTCAGACACACACCCCCAGCCAGGGCCAGCAACGACAGCCGGCCTTCAGCTACCACCCACACCCACAGGCGCACAAGTAAGTCTGTCTGAGGGCGCCTCTATCATCCCACGGCAGGCTTTGTATGTGAACCATCAGATTCTCTCATCTCCTCATCATGTTTCAAATGGGAGGATTGGTTTCCTGTATCAGTCTACTTTTTATGGACTACTGAAATTTGATCAACTACACTGAGATAGAATCTTCAATAATTATTTGTTAACAGGTTAAAAAAAGGGAAATTATTTTGTGGCATAAAGAGTCAAATTACTTAGCAGTCACTGGTGTGGGTAGAAATGACCTCTTGATAAGTTGCAGTGTGGCTGAAGAAGCCTCTGCCTGAATACATTTTGGTCATGTACAGGGTGTGTAAAACTCTCTGTTAATCCTAACAGAACATTGACTGTATGTCTGCGTGACCACACATCTGTGTAGATCTAAACCAAAGTTTAAATGTCTTGTGATGTGTTAGAAAATGTGAGGTTGCAGACAGTGTTAGAAGCTGCTACTGAGTGAACCTGCAGGGTTAGGGTGACCCCATAAGCATAAGCATAACCCCACATATGCTTCCCTTTTAGCGCTAAATGACTCCCCTCTCATGTTCCTGTTCCAGAGTGGTGAACGAGCAGCTACCAGCGTGTAGCTCCAGCGCTCCGGCCAGCACGGCCAATAGCAACACCTCCTCTCCCGTCAAGAACGCGTTTCCCAACCAAAGCAACATCTCATCCGTCAAAGCCGGGCCCCTGCCGGCGAATCTGGACGACCTCAAAGTGGGTGCCGCTGCAAACGAAAGCTCAGATCCCGTTGACTGTAGACTGTAGCTTTAATTCTTGCTTTGGGTTTGTCCTCTGAAAGGTTTCAGAGCTCCGGCAGCACCTGCGTATCCGCGGAATGCCGGTCTCCGGCACCAAGACGGCCCTCATCGAGCGACTCCGGCCCTACAAGGACTCTACTGCCGAGTCCCCGCCCACAGGAGCCTCCAACATCACCACCCTCACCTTCCCAGTCACGCCCACGGGCTCGCTGTCCTCCTACCAGTCCCCCTCCTCCTCCAGCACCCTCTCACAGGGGGGGTACTACCCGTACCCCAGCACCTCCTCCAGCCCGCCCATCTCCCCCGCCTCCTCGGAGCTGTCCCTCAGCGGCTCCCTCCCGGACAGCTTCAGCGACGTGCCCATGTCCTCCCCCCCCCAGTTCAGCCTGCAGCCGTCCCCGGCGCCGCCCGGCATGGAGGACGGCCAGGCGGGGGGAGGAGGAGGAGGCAAGCTGGCCGGGGGGAGTCAGATGGGGGGAGAGGGGGGAGGCATGGACGGTCTGGAAGCTGAAAAAGACAAGATGCTGGTGGAGAAGCAGAAGGTGATCGAGGAGCTGACGTGGAAGCTGCACCAGGAGCAGAGACAGGTGAGTGGGAGGGGCTCCGGTCAGTGTGAGGAGTTTAGGCAGAGAGATGAAGGTTCCCGGGGTGAGATGTGTCCGTTTGTTCATACTTTGATAGGTTGAGGAGCTGAAGATGCAGCTCCACAAGAGGAAACGCTGCTATGGAGCTACACAGGACTCCGCCCCCCCTCCCTCTCACCCCGCCATGCTCCACCAGCAGCAGCAGATTCCAGCCATGATGGGGCAGCACTTTTTCGGGGTGACGGTCAAGCAGGAGCCCATGTCCATGAGCTCCAGCTGCCCCCTGTCCTCCCCCAAACAGCTCAAAAGCCCCGCCGGCAGCTGCCTGGAGGACATGGGACACTGCAATAACCCCATCTCAAACATGGGGGGCCCCGGCGGGCCACAGTGCATGGACACGGGCCCTGCCTCTGGCAGCCCCCCCGCCATGTCTGCCTTCCTCAGTCCGCAATGTTCTCCGCAAGATTCCCCCATCGGAAAAGCTCCCAGCAGCTCCCAGCCCTCGTCTCCCAACAACCCCTACCTGCTGTCCCCCCCCCTGGGGAGGGAAGGCTGCGGGCACCCCCAGAGCCCGGGCGGCAGCAGCAGGGCGCGCAGCATGCAGGTATGACGCCCGGGGGGGGATTAGTTAGTCCTGTTACGCTAACAAAACCAGGCTCTGCAGGGGTGGAGCCCGGTCCAGATAGGAGGCCATTACAGACATTAGATGTTTATGATGCACAGGAACGTAAATAGATGAAGACACGGGATCGGTCAAAGTCAAAGCACACTGAGTGGTCAACCAGACCAAAAAGCCCCATATGAGTACAATCCGTTCACCATTACCCAAATCAGACTTCAAAAAAGGCACTTCACAAATGACCGTGAACTTTCTAGAGTACATAGAGCGAGGCCTAGCTAGGCAATGTGGTGGTAAGTGGGATACCTTTAAGAACCACATCCATTTTTCTTCTGCACAGCATTTTATTTATTCATTTAAGCTGTTTTATGTCTTACTGACACACTGTAACCTGTATGAATTCTGATGAGGCTTTTATAACGTATCACCTAGTGTCTCGTTTAGACTTTAGAAAACACTCTCACAGTGGCAGCAAATGCTCTGGAATAATTCCTTATCTGTTCACACTCTCTTACTTACTTGCTGAGACTTTAGAAAGTTGTTTCTGTGCATGCGCTGGAGACCCGAATCACTACAGAGCGATGGCGTCCACTTACCCGTCCAGCTCGCCCCGTTAAATCGAAGTGTAAGAACACGTGAATGTGTCAGTAAAAATAATGCTATATGCCACCACCAAGCAAGAGAAGGTTCCTTTATGTGCTGCTGATAAATAGTTGTAAAAGTAGTGATTTCCAAAGAGTCTTTTTTCAAAAAATAGTTCAACAAAATCACAAATTTCCATTCATTTAGTGACCTTCCCTCCTCTTATGTAAATGGAAATAGAAATGAATCGGTGTAAATTTTGCGTCCCTTTTTTTCTGTGTTTGGATCCTTTGGCGTGCCGACAGCAGATGTCCCAGAGGAGCTGTGTTCAGGGCCACTGTTCCTATCCGTCTGACCAGAGAAGCCTCCCGCCGCTGTTCCCCAGCTCCTCCGACTGTGGTCTCCACCACAGCAGCGCCGCTAAGGCGGAGAACCTGCAGCCAAAGGTAAACGTGACCTCAGCTCACTTCTGCTGCCATGCCACATTAGTGTCTCGTACTGTTTTCCTCTTTTCTGTTTAATCGTGACTTGTCTCTGTGTTTTATTGCCTTTTGGTACAAGGTTCATTGTCACTCTTGTCATATCTGTTTTCATCTCACTTTTTCACATGAAGTGACCTTTCTTTTACACAACGCCAACCCGTCTTTAGCTCAATATTAAAAGTGACTCAATTATTAGCTTTAAGGGCCTGATTTGTGTTGTTTTTTTTTTCTTTTACTGCAACACTCGTTTGGTAAGCTCCCCTTCAAAATGCTAATTTCACTTCTCACTTATTTCTCATATAGATGTCAGTATTGCCCTCTCCTCGTCATGTTGGCCAAAAGTGCCAGGTGTCCCCCCCTGCCTTCAGTAGCTCAGATTCAGATGCATCTGACTTAAGACAGCCCCCATGCTATGAGGATGCAGTCAAGCAGGTAAACTCCAATTCGTGCTGAAACCTAATAAGAGATGGCTGGCCAGGGACTTCGTGTTACCTTGTGGCGTTGCTTTAAATCCCAGTTACTTTTTTCTGTCTCCTCTCGTTTTTTTCTATCTTTTAAGTCCATCGCCTGTGTTGCATCTGTTCTATACATCCATCTTTTTGTTCACTGCATGGGTTTTACACACTTTGCCGAGTCTAAAGTTGACCTTTTCTACAATTTGTCTCTCAGGAATAAAGAAATATGTGTATTTTTTGGTTGTCTGTAGACTAAACCAATCCAGCTTTCATCTTAATTCTAAATGTTAACTGTCAAATTAAGACTAGTCCACTCTGCTGTTTCACGTTAGGATTTATTTGATATTATTTTTGGAAGCAGGGTTGTTTGCAGTGAGCACACAGCAGATTTTTAGGATGAGAAATGAGTCCTGTGACAAGCTAAACTAACTTCTCTAATGCCAACTGGAACTGAATAAATCCTAAACAGCTCAAACCTGGTTTAAGCCAGAGTCCAAATGTAGAATCGTTCTCATTTATTTACGCATCCGACAGCTCCATATGCCACTTTGTCACAATTCCCTAACTGTGGAATGTAAAATCACATCCATGACACTCTCATCTTTGGCCAGTAATTAATAATAATTAGCAACTTACCTATAAAATGTCGCTTCAACTCAACTGACAAACATGAGTGGAAGCTACAGAAACGAACAGCAGTCCAGATCTAAACTGATAAAAACATAAATTTTGGCCCATCTTCCATCATCACACCAGGTCCTCTCAGGTGGGGAAAGACTCCATCTCACAAGATGGTGCTTTTTTTTTTCCAAATGGAAATTTCAGACACAAGTCAAAAAGAATTGAAAGAAATCATCATAATCACATTTGAAAGGTTTAAAAAAGCTCCTGAAGACCAACCCAGAGGAGCAGGGGGCCGTCCTCATATTCCACTTGATCCAGAGATTCAGATGACTTTGGATATTTGTTTTCTCATAAAGTCACCCTGGTAGTCTCTAAAGAACTGTCATTACCAATGTCTGGACTTTTGAGAAATAAAGGGATGTTTCTGTGACGTAGGAGATGATAATCCAGGGAAAACTTTTACAGACAAGAAACCGGCCTTCCTAAAAACACTGTACGACTGCTGTAGGATGTAAATCTCGACTGTTAAAACGCTGAATGAGGACATTAACTCCAACGCGATCTTTATTATTCCTACAGCAACTGACCCGCAGTCAGCAGATGGATGAACTTCTGGACGTGCTCATAGAGAGTGGAGGTAAGCTGAAAATCCCACAGTAAAACCCCCCCTCAGTGAGAATCCTGCCAGATAAGGTGGTCATCCGCGTGGCCCACAGGCTGTGACCCCCCCCTCCTCTGCTCTTTCTCTTCAAGAGATGCCGGCTAATGCCAGAGAGGGGGGGGGGTGTTCTGTAACCAAAGTTGTGCCTCACCTTACTGTGTCCCCAGGGTGTCCCGGCCTGCTCATCCCGCGGTTCCACCGGCACTACGAGCACCTGCCCCCCACCCCGCTGCCCTACGAGCACCCGGCCAATCACGTCGCCGAGGGCCACCTGCAGGCTCTGCTGGGCCGGGGAGGGGAGGGGGCCCCGCCAAAAATGTCCGGCGAGGACGGGGGCCCGGAGCTGGAGGGCAGCAGAGAGGTGGAGGGCTACAGCCCCCAGAGCCACCACTGCCACCCGCAGCACCCCCCCCAGCACCCGCCGCCCGACCGGCTGCTGACCGACGCCCCCCCGCTGTCCCTCATCAGCAGCAAGGCCCCCGCCGGCCCCGAGGTGCAGGGCATGGTCAGCATGGCCTTCAGCGACGCGCCCTGGGAGACCATGGAGTGGCTGGACCTGACCCCCCCCAGCTCGGCGGCCTACGGCCTCGCCCAGACCAGCGTGCCCAGCATCTTCAGCACCGAGTTCCTGGACGTCACGGACATGAACCTCAACTCCGCCATGGACCTTCACCTGGAGCACTGGTAAAACCGCCACCGCTCCAAACCCAAGAACAGTGTGTGACCAGCACAGACGCCAGTTAGAACACCAACCACACACCCCAAAGGCCGAACGGCTGAATCACAACACAGAATCTGGTAGAAACTTTATCGCCTGACCAAAATCACGTTGCTTTGTTGTCACACCCAGAAAAGCAAAGACAAGGTTGCTCTTTGACCCGATTTCTGTCATTTTTGGACAATGATGCGCACAATTGCCATTGAAGTATGACAAAGGAGACATGGAGGACACACTTAAAGTACTCTAACCCATTATGCAGTATCAGTGTTACACCAAAAAAACTTGAAGACGAAATTTGATTATTTTTACACTTCTTGGGTTTATGTTCGGTTACTGGAAAGAAAGAAAGAAAGAAGACACAAATTCTTATTCAAATGGCAAGTTGGATTACTTGGTGATGGCAATATTGTAAATATTACAGCTATATGTACTGACAAGCTGACATTTGAATATGTTGTCAGTAGATTGGGAGAGAACACAAACCACAAATGATGTATTTTGTATTATCAACTCATTCTTTAGCATACATAGATTTTTAAAAGAAAAAGAAATTGTGCACCTCTAGCTTAATGCACACCTTATCACAGTCTGCTTGGGCTTGGAATATGTGTATAGAAACCTTTGTCATTCTGTACCTTTCAATGAAGTTTTCAAAAAGTTGTTATATGACTTTATTTCACTATTTGGAGGATGTACCCAACCGGAAGACATTTTGAGCTAAAGTGGTGCCTTTAAAAAAATCTTTGGTCTTATCAATTTTTAGCAGCAGACAGTCTGTGCCTTAATTTGAAAGAAAAAATGATATTCTATATATATATATTTATAAACTATTTTCCCCTTTACATTTTTTATGAAATTACTACTCATTGAGTGCTTTTGACAAATATGAATTTTGAAGCTTGAGTACAAACGAAGGAAAAACAGATTTGTATTAAAAAAAAAAAAATGTCCTCACAAATTTCAACATTTGTTTCCAGGCCAATCACAGTTATTTATTTAGTGATTTTATATTTATACTTGATCCTGTGTTTTTTACTGACATTCCTTCCTTAATGATTGGGTCTCTTTTTGACATCCCGGGAAACCACCATTATTGACCACTGCCACTTCTTCACCAACCAGTTTTCTTAAAAATGTGACGCCAAACAAAGGAACCGCTTTGAGAAGCCATGTTTTCTTAAACCGCTTTTTCTTGAGCAATCATGAACTGATGGGAACTGTCCATTGTGAGCACTTGTGAATAGGAACATGTAATATATTCAGATCTTAACTGTGAATATTTCATATAAATGTAGATTTTTAGGTAGATTTTGCCTGCACTTAACCAGTCAATGCAACGATTCGGCTCATTTGGGACCTTTAGACTAAAACACCACCAGGGCAGGTTTTACTGAGTCAGTTTCAGGCTTTAACCATCGTGTTTGACCCCAAACTTATTTCTGGGTACTAGGCTTTGCTTTATATCTGTGGCTTGGAGAGGAAAGTTGAGTAAAACCTAACTTTTGGCACAGGAATCAATACAAAAAAAATATATATATATATATGTTTTTTTTTTCAAAGCCTGACTGATCTTGTAGAAGATCTGAGTTCTGTTGTGGACACGGTTCCAAACGTCCGGCACAACATACCGGCGTTGCATCAGTTGCTTTAGTTCTGCTCAGTAACTGCACACATGTACAAACTCATGAATTACGTTTGCTATTTGGGGAAATAAACACTTCCATGCCATGTGTTCAATAAACACAGATACTTCTTACATCTCTGCCTTACAGCAAGCAGACTAAAATCATGGTTGGTGTTTTCATTAGTACAAAATGTTTATTTAAAAAGGAAATGATCCCTTTTGTTCTTTCTTTTTTTTTTTGTCCCCATCGATGAAATATTAAAATAGATATTTCTGGATATACTGAAGACAGCAGATCTCAAGAGCTTTTAGTTTTTCCCAGCAAACATCACACCATTCTGAGGAGTTATTTTTCTGTTTGATTGCAGTTACTAGCTGCTTTTCTTTCTGTTTTGAAGCAGCAGACGTACACATGTACATGTACACACATCTGTGGCAATATCATCAGAATTGTAGGTTTTAAGATGGACTCAGTTTTTCTCTGAATACACAAAAGCGGGTGAAAACATTAATATGCAGATTAAACACTATATAACAATAAAAAAGATCCAAATTAGAAATATTTCCCCTCTCAAAAGCTGCCATCCGGGTCAACTGTAAAGATGAATTGTCTTGACTTTGTTTTTTATTCTGTTGCTTGTATTGTACTTGTTCAGTGGGCTATGCAGTTTGACGCCACCACCAGAAGAAAACTATTTCACTTTCCATCTTCTGTTGAAAGAATACTCTCTAGCTTTAGTCACCTTTATCTATTTTGCAGCATCTAGAGAAATCTAGAGAAGAAAGTTACAACTGACAGAAGCTTTTATGTTGCTTGACCACCAACTTGTTTTTTATTGTTTAAAAAAAAAACATTAAAAATGTTTTATTGGGGTACTTTGACAGCATTCCTGTATAGTAAAAACGAGCAATAAAATGATCACGACAAAATCATTGTGGCTTTTTATTCATGCCCGACTCACAGAAAGCACGCCATCTCAGTCTTTTCCTCAAGAACTTTATTTGAAACCCTTGATAAAGATACAACATAATACTCATTGCCCTTAATAGTATCTCATATCCTAATATGAACATTCTAGTAAAATGCAATTTCTACATCGTGTACCCTGCAGATTGGTTTTCCCCAGCGGCAAACGGCTTCCTGGAAACACATCCCACATAATAAGAACAAACCTGGAGGGAGAATGTCTTTGTCTGCAGGCCTTCTCGGGGGCCTGCCCTACTTTAATGTTTCCGTTTCTAGATGTCTCCACAGAGAGTCCTGTCCAGTTTGTGAGCCCCCCCAACCCATCCAACCTGGGCTAAGTATGTTTTTTTTAATCGTCCCTAACGGAACAAAAGAACTGGACCGGCCTGTTTATAAAGAAGTGATTCTGGAGCTCACCCTTCACGTCTAAACAGTGGTAGGTGTTACTTCCTAAAACGGCTCCCATGTGACCCATGTGGTAAAAGATAGAACAGAAATGCACCAGATAATCCCAAAAAAAGACTTTATGACTTATCAGAGATTTTCCATTTCATGTTGAACATGATACCACAAGAATTCCAACAAACTCCTTTAATTAAACTTGTACAACCTTGACTTTTGATGGTGTGTAGACTGGTATAATGCAGGCTGTTACACTAAATGACAATAAGGGTGATGGTGTTCTTCGATTTCCTAACTGCCTACCAGTCTTTTGAAACTAACACTTTTACTCGCTTCCAAATGCAGTGTGCCGTCTGGAGCCGCAGCCTGATGAACATTCGAAAGCAGAAGAAGGAAAAAGGCCTCAGCAATAGACCGTGTGATAGACACAATGCAGTTGCCTTCCTCTTTTTTTAGGTAAAAGGTTTTTACATCAATTCGGTGAAAGATTTACTGCATTAAGCAAAACGGAGAAAGGAGATTCAAGCCCGTTTCTTGATGCAGTCGACGAAAACAAAATCATGAATGACAAAAAAGACATTGATTTGACTTAGTAGATAACTCAGAGTGGCGTTATCTTTTCCTACCACTTAGATGGCGATTACATCTGAGTTACAGATGTGGTGTCCTGTAAGTGAAAAACAACCAAATCAAAACTGTCTCAGACCCCAAAAATGACAATATCCAGTAAACCGGTGTACACATGACGCACACGGGTGAAGCAACGCTTTTAGACTACAGAGCATCTAAATCCAACACTTTTTTTTGGAAACGTTTGTTCTTCTTCTCCTGACGGCCGTGTGGAAGTGGACACTGAGAGCTAGCAGCATTGGCAGTTTTTAACTATCCCTGTCGTTGTTTTTCAGGTTGTTTAAAATAATAAAAAAGCAGTTAATGCTGCTTGACTGCCCGGCAGCGGTGACTCTGTGATCAGTGAGGAGTTCGGACTGTCCAGTGCTGGACAGAGGAGGACCAAAGGCTCGTTTTCAAAAGGAAATGACGACGTCCACGGCCTCTTTTGATGATCCGTTCAGGCATGAACCTTTAAGTTTGAGCGTAAGCTGCCAGGAGCAGCAGATCGAGGTGACTATAAACACACACATTTCCATCTGTGGGCAGAAGACGCTGGACAAACAGGACGTCCAGCCACGTGCCCCCGTGTCAACTCCAGTTGGCCTTTTTCTCTGCTATCATTTTGTTTCAGTCACAAAACTAAGCATCTTTGTCTCTGACGCCATCTTATTTACTGTGTGATATAAAAAGAGAAAACCTAAGAAATTCAAGCGGAATAAAGTTTAAGGTATTTTCCTGGATCCAAAAATCTTGAACTGAAACTGAATGGACGTACCGCTGCAAGGAAACTAGCAACATTTTGATGTTGTACATTTATTATCAGCTGTGGAAGTTTTCTGATGATATTTCTGTTTAACTAGCAAAATACCAGCCTCTGACTTAAGAAATTATTTCTGCGTAAAATACTTTCTTGGGATGCAATCTAAAAGAAAGCATAAACTGTGAGCTCATTTCCTCATAGCTCTGTGTAAACCAAGCATCTAAAACCGCTCTTTATCAGGTTTAATAGAGAACTCCGTTTGTTCTGCGCCAAACAAGCAGCCATAAACGCTCCAGCGTGTCTTTTGTCTCTTTACCAACGAGCTTCTCCTGCTTTTGTCTTCTCCTGGGCAAACTTTCTCTGCATTCCATTTGACAGTTTGTGGAAAGTGACAGATTATATCTGTTAAAGGCAGCCGTCTAGGAAAGCCTTCCATTTTTCCTCATCCGGTAGGAAATAAGTAAAGCAGGCAGTCAGCCCTCGAGCTTCCACCTTAAACTGTTCTAAAGCTGACAAATGAAATCCAGTCACACATTAGCCCCAAGCAACAAAGTAATAAGATAACACAAACTCTGATAACTGCTACGCTTTCCTTCCTGGTCTGTTTCGTTTATTCATCTGAGTGTTGATCTACAGGGTTGTCATAAGGCACACCCTCTATTGGAGTAATTTAGAACTATTTTAAAGCGGGAAAAATGTGTGGATATGTCACTAATATTAATGAACAAAGACCGGCTTTAGGGGTCAATCAATGGCTACTGAACGACATAAGGAGTTATCTTCTAGAAGGCCTTATGCTTAGCTTGGTGACCCAAACAAAAAGATAAGGTACAAACTGAGGCCAGCACCAGGCCATCAAATCAACACAGGCTCTCCCAGATGGCATATTGAGGAGAAACAGAAGAGAAGAAAAAGAAGTAAATTCCCCATGACGATCCATTAGCTTTCTGATGAGAAACACCTTTGTATATTCTGTTGTTTCCTCTGTGTGAAGGTGCTGACACCATGCAGCATGAAAAGAGTGTGTTTTTAGACAGTCAGCATACATCTGTACAACACACATATGCACACATACAGTTCACATTGTACAACTCATTAGGTGGCTAATTTGTTCATACAACTTGAGCATCACAACATTTTATTTTGGTAGATTCTGTTTTTGTGTACGAGTTCAACTATATATATGTACATATACATATATATATTTGTTTATATATATATACTCCATATACTTATACTCTATTTCCTTTGTCACATAAGAGGATGCACTGCATTTTTACTAAGACACGTCTTCAAGTTTTCTCTTGGTGACATTGGATATTTGGGGATTTTAAAATGAGGTGATGGAAGAAGTGTAGCGAGCTTCTCTACATTGCACCGGGCAGTTTGGATGAATTCCCATTGATCTTTGGAACATGTGGACACAAAGGTGATCTTTGAGGGCTAAATCGATTGGTGTTGTGTCCCACCTGCTGGTCATTGTGACCCCCGCCCACCCCAGCCCCCCCCCTGGCATCAGTCCACATACATGGGGGAGATGGGGGAGGCTGGGAACTGATCCAGGATGCGACACACATAGTTGGCGACGTCCACAAAGCGCTCCTCATACATCAGGATAAAGGGGTGTCTCTGGGGTAAAGAGATAACACATCTTTAGGATCATTTGTGCAGTATATTGAAGTTTATTTCTGAAATATTAACTTTTTGGTGTGTAAAGTACTTGTTAGTAGTAGGTGGTGAGAGGGCTAATGGATAAGCTAAGCTGATAGGTTAGCTACTCGAAAGAACAGTAAAAGAGAATATTTTTATCACCTGACTAATTAGAAAGTGAATTCAAAGTTAGATATGTGTTTTTCTTAAATATTTGAATATTACTTAAAGATGTGTAAAGTACTTGTTAGTAAGCGGTGAGAGGGCTAACGGATAAGCTAAGCTGCTAGTTTTAGCAACTCAAAACAACAGTAAAAGAGAATAATTTTACCACCTGACTAATTAGGAAAGTGAATTTAAAGTTAGATATGTGTTTTTCTTAAATATCTGAATATTACTTTTAGGTGTGTGAAGTACTTGTTAGTAGTAAGTGGTACGAGGGGCTAACGGATAAGCTAAGCTGCTAGGTTAGCTACTCAAAACAACAGTAAAAGAGAATATTTTTATCACCTGACTAATTAGGAAAGTTAATTCAAAGTTAGATATGTGTTCTTCTTAAATATTTGAATATTGCTTTTAGGTGTGTGAAGTATTTGTTAGTAAGTGGTACGAGGGTTAACGGCTAAACTGCTAGTTACCACCTGCCTAATGTCTCCTGTAAATAAAATACAGAGCACAATACGGGGGCATGGAGGAATAAAGAATAGATGTACTTGGTATATATCTACCAAGTAACTCTTTTAGTTTAGATCATTTACATCTATTCAGTAGTGGTTCTGTTTCAATCCTCTTTAAATGTCTCCATGCGATCTCTCAATGATTCCAGTGTGGAATCCCTTACTCCATTGTACGGGTGTAGACAACCCCACATAGTCAGAAGGAAGGGGGCCCTGATAGATCTCACAAAAACCCTTAGGGGGTTACGTAGTAAGGCACTACCCACTAACAAGAACCCCATCCACATCCATCTTAATAATAACGCTAGTATGCTTTAACATATTTGTCGAACTCTACTTCTATTAAGTGACTATTTCAGCTCTTTCTAAACACGTCAGTGTGAGTTATGACATTAGATTCAATGTAATACTTGGCCCAGAATATAAATAGATTTTATCCTAAATTTGAGGGTTCTTCCTCAATTTCTAAATTATTAATTTGCGAATAATAATCTATAAAACTATAGATGACCTTTTTTTGTTGTTTGGATTAAGAGGAAGATAATATCTACCAGATGTTAGAGACTCTTACATTGATAGCTTATCACTCACAAGACCATAGAGGGTCAAAAGGTTGTGGCTAATTTGTAGTCATTTAACTAAGATTTTTTGAATACACAGGTGGAACTCAAAGTCAGTTTGATAATCTGAACTATGTCGTGTCAGGCGATCATGACTGAACCAGAGGAAATGTGAGTTTTAAAATGACACTCACCAGAAGCTCCTTGTACTTTGGCCTTTTTGATTCTTCTTTTGTAAGGCTGGACAGACAGAAAGAGCATGCAGTTATGTGAACAGTGTGATCTGAAGGCTGAGATGATGTTGGATTATGAAGTCATCCAGGAACCTGAAAAGTCATTTTATACTTACCATAGGTTAACAAAGTTAATGAATTTTGGGGAGAACTGCCTCTCCTCTGAGTTGCTGAGCTGTGGAGGCTCTCCTTTCACCACCTGGGTCAGCTGGTCAAAAACACTATTCCATTTGGGGTAGGGGAAGCGTCCTGTGGCCAGCTCATACTGAAAACACAAACGGGGGCTTGTGATTAGCTTGAAGAACTCTTTTTGCTTTATCACAACAACATAACAAAAGCAACAGTTTTTAATGAAGATGATACTGCTGCCTTACCAGAGTGATTCCCAAGCTCCACACATCGGACCGGACATCGTAGCCTTGTCTGGAAGCGCTGGGGTCTATTCTTTCTGGCTGAAAAACGCACCGACAAAAACGTTCTCTTACTCGCTTTAGGTCCATTTTTAAAAAATCTTTTTTTTTCATAAGGATAACGATCCGTAATTTCGCTCCAGTTGTCTTACCGCCATGTAAGGCCTGCAGCCTGCATCTCTGGTCTTTGCTATGGAATCCACCAGCTGGCCGCTGATGCCGAAATCACACAGTTTGATATTACCCTTACGGTCCATTAGAATGTTGGAAGGTTTAATGTCTACATGGGCAGGAAACGGAACAATTTCAGAGCAATGCAAATTGGTAATTTAGATGAAAATGACAAAAAAAAAGAAAAAACAAACCTACCTCTGTGAATTATTTTCAAGTTTTCTTTTAAGTGGTTCAGTGCTTTAACAGTCTGTCAAAAACAAATGAAAAACCTCTGGTCATTTTTTTAAAACCATGACAAGTAAAATGTAAAAGGAAAAAAGTAAATAATGGCTTACTGCTAAAGTTATCTTTCCTAATATTTCCTCTGGAATGACGTCATCTAATGCACAATATACATATTTGTAGAATTTGTCTAGTGAGGTAGACATAAGCTCCATACAAATCCAACAGTCCCCCTGGAAGGATAAGAAAAAAAAGTAGATTGGTTCAATAAATACAATATTTACTGGACAAACCCGTTTTGTGATGTTCAGATTTTTTTTTTTAAAGGACAACAAAGAACGCAGAGTCTACAAAGTGAGGTCAGCGTGGCTGTCCTGACCTCTCTGAAGAGGGCGCCGTAGAACTGGACAATGTAGGGACAGTCGCTACTCCTCATCACCACGTCCAGGTCCATCAGCAGCTGCTTCTGCTCCTTCTCGTCGACAGTGGAGCGAATCCTCTGAGGAGCACACATGAAGAAGCCACAACGTCTAAATACAGCCCCCCGCTTCTGTCCAAGGATTCAAACCATCAACAGGACGCTGCCCGTTCGTTTAAACAGCACTGAGAACGACCTTTGTGAAGAACATGATGGGCACAAGAAGACAGGAGATGGCGTAAGAGTTGCTTTTATGTCTGACAATCCAAGTAGGTGGGGGTCACGGATGCATGTGTGACTAAAGACTTACATTTCACACTTTGATTCCAAGAGTTTTTCAGTCATTCGTGACTGAAAAACAAAGACAAACAAATCCAGCTGCTTTTAAATTTTGCACTTCTGGAGATCTGCTAACCACATACCTGACTCTTCCCTGACATAAAACTAAAATAAAGACAACACAGTCAGTATTTACAGGAGGAATTAAAAGGGAAGAAGATTTTCAACTTTTCTCGTTTGCTCCAATGTACTTTTGCTCTTTTTTAAAGCCTCCATTCCTCCTTGTAGCTGCACCCTTCTGTTTTGCTAAATAGGTTTCTTTTTTTCTACTTGGGATCTAGCTGTAGTGGTCATCTACCCACTCAGATGTCTCTCAACAACCCTGTTGAAGGATTAACTGACCCCAACGGCTAAATCACCAGGTAAGAAGTGGTAATATGGGGAATTATAGACAACAGACAGCTTTCTAACTGCACCAGTGCAGACTTTGCCCAGAAAATGTTGAGGACATTGTGTTCCGGTGTCTGACAGAGTTTGGTGTGCGGCTCACCTTTACAGCCATGATCTGGCCCGTCGGTTTGTGGACCATGTTGTTGACGGAGCCGTACGCCCCGCGGCCGATCTCCCCGAGGTCCCTCAGGTCCTCCGCGGTGAAGTCGCAGTGCTGCTCCGGGGAGATCTTTAGCTTCCCGGACGACTCGATGCTGTGTGTCCGCAGACGCTCTCTGTAGGAGCCGGGAAGAAAAGGATCAGGCGGGTTCAGGTGGCACACAGCAGATCAGAGCAAGATGAATGGTGCCAGGAGGGCGAAAAAAACACAAATAAAAAAAAAACAATGGAACTTTGACAAAAACATATGGTATGATAAAAATAAGAGAATATAAATACTACATGAAAACGTGTGACGAGGAACTTTCTGTTGGTCTGACTGGTGGAAAATATCTGCATATTCATTTTTACTTAATAAAATGTTTTAAAGTGGATCAATCAATTTGAACTTTAATCACGCTGTGTTTTTTGTATTATATGTATTAGAATCTTAACAGATGTCAGTAATCCACTGCTTGAGGTGCATTGAACTCCACATGCATTGAGTCTTTCATGGTGATGCAGTTGAATGGAGGAGAAAAGTCTGGACAGTTCAGGAGTAGTGTTTTGTTGGGGAGTGAAAGACCATGACTCCCTTTGGGGTGGCCTTTAAGCTTTGGAATTTAGCAGAACCTATACACGGACACAAATAAAACTTCTAAAGAGATTGTACGGCAACTTAAAAACCCTTAAAAGCACAACCCGACCTTTGCGTTATGTTTATGTATTTAGCAGATACTTTTATTGAAAGCGACTCGCAATGCAGATACAACATAAGAGTTAGCATCAACCTAACAATAAGCTACATAGAACGAAATCACTAGTCAGACTCTGTTAAAGGCAACAGTGGTGACGGTGTAGAGATAGAGGGAAGTACAGAAGGACTAGTAGAGGGGGTAGGGAGGTACAGAGTAAGAGTTACTCTATGAAGAGTTTCTGGAAGATGGACCTGTTCTTGTACCGATGATAGATCATTCCACCCTCATGGGAGGACATGAATAGGATCTTGATTGTCTTAAGCGTGGTGTAGGCAGTGCTCAACAACAATCCCGTACTGAGACTGTGTGGTTTTAGACAGATAAAGCTGGGTTTCGTCAGACTAGCTGTGGTATGAGGAGCCATATAATTGGATGATCTGGCCCAGTGAGATGGTACTAATGGCCAAGAAAAGAGGCCCCAGTACTGAACCTTGGGAGACACCTGTGGTGTGAGGTTCAAGTGATACTCTGAATGATTGACCAGTGGGGTACGATTCAAACCTGATGTCGGGAGGCAGTGGGAGAATGTGCGGTTGGTCTGGGTAGCGTTGTTTGCACGCTTAATCCAAGTGTCAGTGAGAGCCAGGATGTCAAGTGACAGGTGTTTGGCATAAGCAGTTGTGAAATATGCTTGGTTTACTGATGACCGGCAGCTCCCCCACCCCACAGACACGGATGTGTCAAAGAATGGAGTATGGAACGGGCTTAAGGCCCATTTTAAAAACAAGCGGCGGTGGCATTGAAGCAATATCAGATGTGGCAAATAGGACCAGTTTGCCTTGTACGGTGGCCTTGCACAGCAGACACTTCCATGAAAAAGAGGCAAGTCTTTACCCGAGAATGTCTTCCCATGAGAAGGGTTGACGCTTCCGCTGATGCTACAGCCATAACCCCCTATCTTTAAGCTACGCACACACAATAAGACATGGCTGTTTATTATTTATAGTGTATTAGGTTGAAACAGTGGGAGAGTTACCGAGAAGTTATTTTAGAGAGTGACTAGCCATTCACAGCTCCCGATTGCTCTGATTGTTTTGCGAGGTTGGGCTTTGATCACTTACACAACAGCAGGTATGATTTTTGTAAAGATGTAGTTCTGTTATCTTTCAGCATGCCGCGGTGAGTTTTTAAAGCTCTTGCTTTAAGTGAAGGAATCTCCCACTGGTAATAAGTAAGGTAAGTGTATTAAAAGGGGGCGTACTGTCAAAACTGGTGGGACTGAGAATGACATCATCTCCATTAACTCCAATCAAGGTTCTTCCCCTCCTAATATATGTATTATAAAAGCATATTTGGAGCTCTATGTCTGTCTAAAGAAAGGGGAGGGGGTTTACTAAATACATCATGTCCTTACTCACATGTGAGGGTTCTGGAAAGATGGAGGGGTGGGATTGATCGGGAGCCTGGAGCTGGGTTTCACTGGAGGGTTGGCGAAATTCAGCTTCAGAGCTTTGCGTTTACCTGCCGGGACAAAAGGAGGAACAGATCCAGGTTGCCACGACGAGCAACAAACAAGCCGAGGCGTGGGCTGACCCAGCTGATGCAGACAGGCCAAACACGGAGTGGGACCCCACGATCCCCGCTGCGTCAGTAAGGTCTGCACTTACTCACTTGAGATAAACCGTAATGTGTAAAATTAGAGCAATCTTTTCAAATTTGCCTCAGAAACTGTCAAATCAGATAATATTGATGGATAAAATCTTACAAGTTATCTCAAGTTCAAGCAAAGTGCCCTTTTACACAGAGGTTCCCAATGGTCCAACCGTTCTAAAGAGCTGTATGCTCACAAATGAGTAACATGCAACACGTGTTGGAGGAGACATTGGGAATCCCTGTAAAGTTCCTTTGTCAAAAAGTGTGCAATTCAAAACCTGACAGTTTACCTGAAACATAAAAATGACCCAACACTCCGACAACTTCACAGTCCAAATCTAAGTCAGAATAATATTTGGGGTATCATTACAATGATCGGACTGAAGGAGTTCGTGTAAACTTGCAGTTACCTGCAAGCATACGTCTTGAGAAATTAGCTGGTACTTAGGTTTAGATATCATTTAAAAGTTGCTATCGTCGAGTGTTGGGTCATCTTCGCCATGCCCTGTCCAAAAGCGCCTGAGTGCAAACAGAACCCTTAAACTTAAAGCCTCAGCGCAAAGGAATGGTTCCTAGCCAAGACTGAGTCTGGTGAGTTAATAGCAGTGAACAGTGGACAGACTCCCCAACTACCAGAACACCACACAGGCTGTTTCAGTAGCGTACAGTGGCCCCAGTTCTTCTGTTTGGTCCAATTACAGGGAACAGGACACGCAAAATCGGACCCTCAATATCAGTGCAGATGGGTGGCCACACACCGGTGCGTGAGATCGTAGGTCCACCAGAAGGCATGCGCTGCACTGAGGAAGGGAGGCCACTTTAGACTGCTGAGGTGTGCCCGTAAAGAGGAGAGGTCAGTGAGCTTTTAGGCGAGTCTAATGCTTACTTTGGGGTACTCCCGACAGGCTTATCTGAAACCCTGAGGCAAAGAAAAGACATTTTACTACAATTCCTTTGGAACTGTTTGAATAGGAGTCGATTTTTTTTTACCAACTTAAAGTCATCCCGGCAGGGATTGTCTGCCATGTGGAAAACAGAGCGGAGCACTGTCAGCCATGCATAGCCTCCAAAGGAGGTGCCAAACTTTGGTAGGTTTGAGTCAACTGGTTTTGTTAGAATATTTAGGGTGGAAGGAGGACAGGTCCGGTTTTAAGTGGTTTAGCCCATTATAGTCCATCAGCACATCCATTTTAAAGTTAAAAATGGCTCGGTTTAGTTGACTAAAAACTGCTTGAAGGCCATTCTTGTTTTGTGCGGCATGACACAAACTGTGTGTTGATCATGTTCAACTGGAAGATGTCACTCCGCTGGTGTAATCAGTTGTTATGTGCAAATTTCACTGTTAACCATATAAAAACTAGTGGTTTGTGCCATTACATTATTCTATAAAGTTAGTAGTTGCTAAACAAACCTTCGTGGAAAAAAATGACAAAAAAAACACTATGGTTCACTAATTCGTATGATATTAAAAATAGCTAATGCCTTTGTATTTGAATAAATTGAATTAACAATGTGTTGCTTTAATCTAAATACACAGATAGGACCTCCATCTTGTAAAGAATACAGTCCCAGTATCTCCGGTGAGCTTGTTTGATCTAGTTCTATATAAAAATTGTTCCGATCTTGCAGTGGAGAAAGAATCTTGACATTATCGAAGCATATCACACCACTAAATGCACAATCTTCCACAAAACAATAATCCATTATTTTTGTTCCAAAAGATGACCCCTATCTTTGCTTTGTAGGCTACTCATTCTGGAGCACTAAATGTGCAAATTTCAAAATTAATTAATTTAGCTTTGTGTGTTATTAGGAGGAAATGTGAATATATATTAGGAGGAAATGTGAATATATATATATTAGAAATAGGAGTGATTGATAATGGACTAATTTTGCTAATTTTGTCACTGACTATTTTATCAGTTAAAAAACAAAAATCTACAGTCATTTAAAGAACCTTTTAGGGCCATATTGCTCAGACCATTCTGTACTCGATTCAGGCTGACTACAGGTACAGCCATCAGTTAACTTGCATTTAAATAGTTATGTACAAAGATAGAAACAATTCCTAAGTAACAGCGTAAAATGTTCTGTTTGTAGAATGTCGACTTTCAAGAGTATATTTTCAATAACAAAAAAAAAGAATCCAGATAAAAAGTTGATCATCAGAGACATAATTTAAACTTCAATACACCTCGTGATGTAAGAGTTATATTCTGTTTGACATAAAGTACTTGTTTTTTTCATTTTTTAAGTTAAAACTAGTTTGAACTCTATTTTTATCAAGGAGCGAAATACAGTTTTTTTGCTGGAGATTCTTTTCTGACAAAAAAACTAAAACTGTCCCTGACTCAGTGGTCAATTCAGTTAATAGATACAAAGGTTTCTATGTAATTTTTTCAATTTAAAGTTCAAAGTATTTCCAATTGTGTTGATCAGAAAAAGAAAACCATCACAGGGTTTGGAGCTCAGAACAACGCTGGGGTTCATATAGCATCAACCTTAAAGACACTGGTTTGCTGGCAGATGGCAGAAGAATACTTTAAAGTTACTTTAAAGTGATAAAAACTTTAGTGGATCATGGCTGTGATTTTGTTTACACGAGTATGTAAATGGTGTCGTATAAAACCCACCCGAGAATATACAGCCTCTATGAACTGAAAACTATCTCCACAACAGCATTTTGTTACCCGGCACAACAGTCAAGGGTTTTGCTTTATGGTGTCTCATCAAATGGGGTCTGTCTACTGTACTGTCTACATCAGGTTGTTCCAAAACGGAACTGGGACGAGAGGAGGAAAGAAAATAACAGCATGCAGAAAAGTGAAGATAAAAAAGGGAAGGATATGAAGAATTTTGAAAAAAATTAAGAAAACATCATTGTAAACAACAGAAGACAGAAGGTGATGCATAAGGAACAATTCAAAGAATTTAGTGGCCTAGACATGGCTTAGGCAAACATGATATAACCCCCCCCAAAAAAGGATTAACATTTCAAAGAGAAGAGTAAAACCTTGTAAAAATAGTATTGAATACCTGTTTCATTTTGACATCTCCAGCAGGTGTTGATTTCTGCAAGGTTTAGATAAAAAATTTGATACTACATATGCCAAAGATTAAGACATTACAAGTGACTGACTGCAGATTGTGTGACTTTATAAAGTTACGGCTTCCACAACAAATCCTGAGAGAAACATTCTCCATTTTGCAGCAGAACCCATCCAGACATCCATTATCGGACAGAACCCTTCCCTGTGGGCTAACGTGCTTTTCCCACCAACATGAGAGCAAACCACACGAATGCCGTTCCCCTGTGAGTCAACAGCCTTTCGTGGGATAATTGCCACGACACGAAACGTCCACCATGTATTGGGGCATGTTGTAAGCAGTGGCTGACCATGTTGGAGACTAAACAGTCAGAGAAACAAACACCTTTAGCTGGTGTGAAGCTTTAGCCACGACCGGGGTTGGCTTGTCGTCCGATAATGGATTCCAGTCTGGAAACGGAGGCTAAGCTTTAGCGCAAAAACCAAAACGAACCAAAAAATATTAGCCTTCGCATAACAGGGCTACGGTTAAAGTTTTGGGGCTTTTTAAAAGGTCAACAGCAGCAATATTTGGCTTATTCTTAAAAACATTATTGGTGTCACGTATCCTAGCACGTTATAAAACAGACTGAAGTCTTGATTCCCATTAGCAAGACCACAACTCACAACAGCCTTTAAGCACGAACTTTGACACAGTGAATAAAATTCCAGGAAGCAACTGGAGCTGTATTAAAAATGGGATTAATCACGTTAACAGTGGCAGCAGTATGAAATTAAAGTGGCCTTGTTTGGGAATTAAATTAATTTTAGACTAGGCCCAGTTCTACTTGTAGCAACCTTGTGCTAACTACGGCAGGCAACTGTATATGACAAACACTTCTTAGTTCTTTTATTTATTTTGGTGACTACTAAATAGTGACACATTTGATACATTACGATATTTAATTAAATCGCCATAAATCAATTTGTTTAAAAACTCTGAGGGTTGCACATCACAGCTAACACAGTAGCCATATTCCCCACGGAGCAATTTCAAGCTAAGAAAGTAAATCGGTTGTAAACGGAAATTACGCAAATTTATCTTCAGATTAAAAGTGCAAATCACTAATTAACGAACTAATTTTATTTATATTACATTGTCATTTCATTACAACCTAATGAGAGTCAAGTATATGTCAACAAAATTCCATTATTTGTTAGAATTTAGGATACATCTGATTTGTTCAACAGGTAATGCTGAAAACCTCACCAATAATTAACCTAATTAGACAGCAGCAATCTGTGCTTTGAATAAAAAACAAGAAGCCATAGGATACTTATATGAGTTAACTTACATGAGTTATACTTGTAAGTAAAGGCAGTCCTTTAAAAAAGTTCTGGATAATTTTAGCTTTTCCATTTCCTTTAATACATGTTATGCCCTGGACAAAAACGTTTATACTGGGTAATGTTATTTTGAAAGTTGTGACCGGAATATGTCGAAGTAACGGTTTGGACTTGACAATGGTGTTTTGCTACTGATAAGCCACAAGCTAGATTTTCCTTACCCGAATGGGTCTAGTTAAAACATTAAACAGTAAAATAGAGGCTGTCGTTGCCCACCTTGCATACTGCTGCTTTGGGTCTGTTGGTGAAACTGGTGCGACGTGGAGCCTACGATGTTGCCGGAGCTTGTGGAGTTGCTGTTCGGACCGGGAGTCGCCATTGTTGTGTTCCGGCAGCAGCGCCCAGGCTGCAATGCAGGGAGTGAAACTTCGCCACCTCTGCTTCCAGATGGGACACCGTGCCAGTGAACGCAGCAGCTGCACCGCGGCCACGTCTGTGCCGCTGATGCGTTCAGGGGCTGTCGAAAAATATTCAATAGTTAAATGTTTACACAATCAGATATTGCACAAAAAGAACTTTACGTTCAGTACATATGAAAATACATGATACAGATTATTATAGTATAATAATATTACTCATTTAACAATTTCTATATATATACAGAGTAAGGAAAATAAGTATTTGAACACCCTGCTATTTTGCAAGTTCTCCCTCTTAGAAATCATGGAGGGGTCTGAAATTGTCATTGTAGGTGCATGTCCACTGTGAGAGACATAGTCTAAAAAAAATATCCAGAAATCAGAATATATGATTTTTTAAAACTATTTATTTGTATGATACAGCTGCAAATAAGTATATGAACACCTGTCTATCAGCTAGAATTCTGACCCTCAAAGTAAGGATCAGAATCAGTAAGAATCCAAATACTAACATGGCCAAGACTAAATAGCTCTACTGTTGGTAATACACTAAGGTGTCACGGTTTGAAATCATGCATGTCAGGAAGGTTCCCTGCTTAAACCAGCACAGGTCAAGCCCTGTCTTAAGTTTGCCAATGACCATTTGGATGATCCAGAGGAGTCATGGGAGAAAGTCATGTGGTCAGATGAGACCAAAATAGAACTTTTTTATCATAATTCCACTAACTGTGTTTGGAGGAATGACCAGTACCATCTCAAGAACACCATCCCTTCTGTGAAGCATGGGGGTGGTAGCATCATGCTTTGGGGTGTTTTTCTGCTCATGGGACAGGGCACCTGCACTGTATTAAGGAGAGGATGACCGGGGCCATGTGTTGTGACATTTTGGGGAGTAACCTCCTTCTCTCAGAGCATTGAAGATGTGTGGAGGCTGGGTCACACAGCCAGGAGAACCGAGGAGTGGCTCTGGAAGAAGCACATAAAGGTTCTGTCACGGCCTAGCCAGGCTCCACACCTAAACCCAATAGGGAATATTCGGAGGGAGCTCAAACCCCATGTTCCTCAGCTAGAGCCCAGAAACCTGACTGATCTAGAGAAGATCTGTGTGGGGGAGTGGGCCAAAGTCCCTCCTGCAGTGTGTGCAAACCTGGTGAAAAACTACAGGTAACCTTTGACCTCTGTAACTGCAAACGAAGGCTACTGTACCACATATTAACATTGATTTTCTCAGGTGTTCAAATACTTAGTAAATAAATAAATAACATGAATAGTTAAAAATGATACATTGGGATTTCTGGATTTTTTTATTTAGATTTGTATTATGTCTCTCACAGTGGGCATGCACCTACGATGACACTTTCAGAACCCTCCATGATTTCTAACTGGGAAAACTTGCAAAATAGCAGGGTGTTCAAATATGTATTTTCCTCAGCGTGTATATATATATAATTTTTTAAAACTTAATTATGTATCAACATATAGGATATTAGAGGGTCAAGCTAAAGCTTTAAGGTGCACTTATGTAAAATTGCAATAATTGGAGACATTCACAAGTACTTCATTGTTGTATTTAATCAACAGGTGAACCCAGCTATTGTTGTTCGATAGATTTTAATTGTGTCATGTTTTGTACAGTGTTTGTGACACTGCTGGTTCTGCCTTTTTCTTCCAAAATTGTCATTACATGGAATCAAAAGATGTGTTCAGAGCATCCAAAGATAAAAATAAATCCCATCTTATCAGTGCATAGTAACCTGAGGTAATTCCCTCCTTATGACACCAGAATACATCAACAGGTCCCACAGAGTGAGCCTGACATTCATTTGGTTATGAAAGTGCATGTGAAATTCTTTTCTCATTGAGTTATGGCGTGAAAGCCAAGAAAATTCGACTTTATTATCTCATCACCCAAGAGGTAGAGCTGAGAGTACACAATAATCCTGTGTACTAACAGCCTATTCCTCAACCCAGCTCCCACTGCTACAGAATCAATGCTAGTTACGTGCAATGCTGCATACAGGCTGTAAATCAAACAGAAAAATAAAGCTTTCCCAAAATAAAACCCTTGAATAAATATTCAAATGTAAACTTTCAGTTCATACTTTATCATAGTCGATTAGTCATATAAGCAATGTATTCTCTGAGGTGAAGAACACATATTTTCATTTTACTTTCAAATATATCTGAAAAGCATGAAGTTTTACCCCTGCTTTTACTAAGCTAGATCCATTAAAATGACTTAGGTATTTCTTAAAATGTTTTATTTAAGGTAAGAATAATATAAGAAGCCTTAAGTTTTTTTTAAATATAGATAAATCAAGAGAATTTATTCCTGCGGTCAGTCAAAACTGACCAACTTGTTAAGGTAATGTACCAATTGTTGTTTGATTGTCAACACAAGACTGACAAGACAAAAGATGGATCTTTATAAAAAGCAAATAGTTTCTGAGCCCTTTCCTAGAATGCTTAAAGTGCAAGTGAGGACAAAGTCTAGTTTTATTCTGTTATACAGCAAGTGCATCAGTCAGAAAGCACTAAAATAAATGGTCATTGTCCACCCAACTGAACATTTTTAAAGATCTTAAAATAGTGCCCAAAATGTGTCATACTTGTAGGATGTTGAAAAGTTTAAGCCTTCTTAAAAGTGTCTCATTTGGTTCCTCCATTTGTTGTTTTTGGTTAAAAATAAAAGTGCGTACATTTCGATAGATAAACTAAAAACAAAACAGTGGAAGACCTTCTCGAGAGGTTTCCTTGTGGAGGACGCTGCTTATTGCTTACACTGGAAACACGCCGCCAAGAAACCTTTCCTTATGGACAGGAAACGGTATCTTAAGTGCGAGCTGATTTTCTTATTTTTAAAAGTATAGAGTGGATCACACCGCCTTTTAGTCAGTGTCAGTTTGGTAGCGCGGAAACTGAAAAACTCTATCCACAAGCCTCCCGTTCCCCTTTAGGACCATCCTGTCCGAGTAGACGGACACGGTCCCGAAGGCATCGCTGTCGGGTGGGGTTTCGATCACCCCGTCCACGGTCAGGTGGTGGACCCCTGTGTCCTTATCCTGGCAGTAGCCGCCGTCGTGGGCGTGTCCGGCCATGTAAGCCACCACGCTGCTGTGGGATCTGATGATGGCCAAGAGCTCATCGAAGTTCCACGCCAGGCAAACGGAGTCTGTAGAGTTGGGGTGGACAGGGAGGTGACCTGGACAAAGGGGAAAAAAAGCCACAGGCTAATTAATGACTAAAACCTGTCCATTTATCTTCCAATGTTGCTTTGGTCGTCCCCATTTGTCCCAGCTTTGGTCTCTGCCCAAGGATCTGTACCATGATAGTGCCACCTCTATGTTTTATTGGTCTCTACCCAAGGATCTGTACCATGATAGTGCCACCTCTATGTTTTATTGGTCTCTGCCCATGGATCTGTACCATGATAGTGCCACCTCTATGTTTTACTGCAGGGTTAGGATTCCCTCCAAAGTCCAAAAAAGTGCATTTCAGGTTGACAAGAACTTCTAAACTGATCCTAGAGGACAGTATGAGATAAAACCTATTAAAACCAAAGTAAAAGTCAGAATACTGACATTTAAAGCAACTATTTCATAGAGCTGATGCCCGTTGTTTTTTAATTGTGTGCATGTCCTATACAAATGTCATCTTTGGAGTTTCTGGCCGTAACAACTTCATCTCAAAACACAACTCGTTTGAGGTGGTACCAAATTCTAAAAAGAACCTACCAAAATTGCGTACAGTTGAGTAGGACACAGTCAAGTAGGTACTGGTCGAATACTGATAGGCAAAGCAGAAATATATCCTGACCAAAATCTGCTCGTCTGGCCATCATTTGTGAAAGGAAACCCATCATTTGACCACGTTACATGAACCTTAGTAGGACGGGGATGTAGCCCCTTGACTTTTTGGCAGTTTCTTGCAGCACTGCTATCAGAGATCCAGGCTCAGGTGACACTAGTGGCCCCGTTGCCTCTTCAGTTTACCTCCTCAGTGAGAGGTGACTGAATCTGATCTGTTTTGTACATTTGCTTCCATTAAGTATTCGCACAACACTACAGTTTGAACACCTACTCAGCCAGTTTTTCCTGGTGTTCTAAGCAGAACTGAAACGTCACATCTGGCACACAGCTGGGTCCTGACCGGCCAGGTGACTTACATCACTGGATGAGTCATGAAAGGCACTTTTTCACGGGATCCCTGCCAATAGATTGATAGCTTTATCCCTCAGAGGAAAATTGAGGCTCAAACAGCAGTACAACACTATAAATAATAAAAAAAACAAGGAAATAGAACATGGCAACAGTGTACACATGATTTTATTCTTTCTGTAACCATGAACAGGGTAAATAGCTACACTCAAACCTACACCATGGTCCAGCGCTGAGGTTCAGCCAGTATGTCCTCATTCTGATGTCATTCATTGTTAGAAAATTATGAGTATAACCGAATAAGTACAAACGGAAAGGGGCCGGATTCATTTTGAAGGGAGTAAAATGTCTTAGCCAAAAAAGAAGAGTTAAAAGAAGAGGAAAACCGGGGCAGATTCTGGAACTCAACCTTGGTAAAACTGCCAACCGCCTGTAAGGATCTACTTACTGACAATCGTGACTCTTTCATGTTTTTCATCCGATGTGGTCAGGATGGAATCCAACCAGTCCAGCTGCCTCTTGCTGAACCCGCCGTTGAACATGGTGAATCTTTCCTCATAGTCCCCTGACACTGGGAGAAGAACACAAAACAAGTCACAGACTGACTCACATCACATGGCATGGTCGGGTTTGACATGTGACATACCAGGTGGACAATTGAGGTCCTCGTTCTTGTTGTGAAGCTTGATTAATTCCATGGCCTGGCAATACTGCTCACTGGACTCCTCCCTGCCCAGCAGACTCACGTCATAGGCGTCCAAAACAACGAAAGTGAAACCGGGAAACGGGCTGAAGTGGTAGGCGTAGATGTCGGGACCAGGCGGGACTCCGTTCGGGCGGCTGTCGGACTGTCTGCTGTTGAGCCCTGAACGCAGCAGCGCGCTCCGGGTGAAGTTATAGAACTCGTGGTTTCCCCACACGTGGTGCACCTTCACGCCGAGCGAGCCGAGCTCGCGCAGCACCGCGTCCAGCGCGCGCTCCGAGGCGCCGTGGCCCTTGTTGAAGCCGTCAATGACGTCCCCCAGCTGGAGGATGAAGTCCGGCTTGACGGCGGACTCGGCCCAGCTTTTCTTGGCGTTTTTCAGCAGCTGGAGACTGCTTCGGTAATAACGCCTCCGAGTCCGCGTGAAATTGTAACCGTCGTCGATGTCCGCGAACTGAATGTCGGCTATGACACCGAATGTGAAGAGCGGCGCGGGCTCCATTTCCAGAGCCGTTCGTGATGCGGTTAAAATCCGAGTGTGACTCCTGTGTCCACCCCGGGGGCTGAAACACAGACCTAGGTACCGGTATCCTGCCCGCCCTGCCAATGCTGTTCAACTCACACCGTCGTCCTTCATTATGACAGCACGCGAGCCTGCACTACAGGTAGCTACAGTACAGCAAAACAAAGCTACTTCCGGTCACCGCATCCTTCAAAATAATTGTTGTTTTTTACACGCAGCGTCATTTTTTTATCTTTGTGTGACATGCATACATATTTTGTATCCTAGTTTAACTGAAAACCGGTTTCTTAGTTCATTTTATCATTTTTAATTGACGCTACGTCACTGAGGAGCTTGTTTAAAATAAAAATAAAAACAGTGGCTTGTTGTACGTGTAATTATTTAAATTTGAGGTAATTTTCCCATTATTTTATTGTTGGAGGGAACTTTTTTTCATTCACTGTCGTTTAACATAATGCAAAGTAGACGGCATTTTGTTTACCGTCACTTTCAATGACAGGTGACACTAAAAGCGTCAACTGAGGAAACTCACTGATTTTTAAAGAGACTTTTATTATTGCAAGAATGTTTTCAAGGCGTTAAACAATGGATGAATGATGCAGCTTGTGGGTGGATGACTTCATTTAGTCTCCTGCCTTGTCATCTGCTGAAGTTGACTTGTTTTCCCCAGCTAAGAAAGAAAAGGCATACACAAAACATTACATAACATCTCAGCACACCAATGGCACAGACAGCACAGAGGATGGTATTTACATTTCCTGGAGGAGTACAATTTAAAATGTCACTGTTGGAATTCACCTGAAGCCTCTTTTGTGGGTGTCAGGCCAGTAATACACTTGGGTATCCAACGCAGGGAGCCATTAGAGGACAGCCCGTCCCACTCGCCCTCGGCATGGTCCTGCGGAGAGTAGAGGCAGACTGAGATAGGAAATCCTTTAGATGGTAGGACTGTAGGACATTTTGTCGTGCATTCTGAACTGAGTCACATGAAAACAGTCAGCAGGTGTCAAGATGTTTTTACAAATAGCAGCTTCACCATCCACGACTAATTGGTAAAACATCTGCCCACTCCAGGCTCAGCCAAGTTTATGTCTGGCCACTGAAACGGGCAGGAACGAGGCTGGCTGAAATCATGCACATAAACAGGGATTCTGCAGGTTGAGCGGAGCTAGACTCCAGGCACTTCAGGAGGGTTTTTTAAAAGCCATGCAGATGTGAGTTTCAGACTAACCTGAAAGTGAAACAAATTGCCAAAAGAAGCATGAAAGTTAATCTGATTTAGGGAAATTTTATGTAAAGTTTACATAAAAATGTGAATCAAAGGGAGTGTAAAATAACTAAATGTAATAATAAAATATCTTTCTTCTGGTTATAATCAATTTTGCAACCCAGGATCTTCATCTGAGTAAAACTGACTATTTACCAGTTGAAGAACTTAAATTGAGGGTCCATAGCCATTTAAGGTTGAATTTACATTTCTTTATTATTAACTAGTTAGGCTTTACAAGCTTTTAACCCTAACCAAATATGGAAGTCATCACAGGAAAAGACCGGCATGAGCATTGCCCACAAAGTCTGTTTATTTAGTTGTTGTGACTAAAATAACTCACCCAAGACTTTATTTTGAGAGAAAATAACTTATAAGACTTGTGAGAAATGTTTTAAGCGTAAGCAGAGATCCTGAAAAAACAAGCGTGCAAGAAGGAAATGATAACTCAACAAAAAATATTCTCCCATTGGAGAATATCAGCCCAAAATGACTCCAGAACATGCAACACACAGATGTGACCGAGCTAAGCCACTGGTAGAATTCACAGCATCAGCGGTTGGGTAAGTAAGCACCTTCTCTGGAGCTCCTGGGACCCCTAATGTGAGATAACCCTCCCTGGAGCCCAACTTTTTTCTATTGTCATCGTTCTGCTCGCCATCTACCAGCTGGAGATTTAGAGTTGTCACAGTTAAGTAGAGAAAATCTTCACTGTCTCTTTCTGTACAAGTTAAATGATTGTGTACTTGGTCTTTACCCCTGTAGTATTGAATTGTTTAATAGTAAATATGCAGTACTAAAACAAATGATCGGAGCAAACTAATGCTGGCGGAGGCTTTAACCAGTTGAAACAAGGGAATGACTGGGAATTACCTGTTCTTGGCGGTATTCACCATGTTGCTCGCAGCCAATGTCAAACACATACTTCCCTGGTCCCAGAGGCTGAAAAAAATAGGGAAAACAAACATTCAGTCCAACATGAATCATTGTTCACTTCATATGAAATGCAAAGAGAAAACAATAACTTATATGTTGTTGGGTCTTTCGGCTTTTCCCTTTAGGGGCAACCATGGAACATTAACCTCGACTCGCATGGTATGTTTGGCTGGAGTCTTTATGCCCTTTTTGACACCTTTATCCAGGGACCGGGGAAAAAAGGACACAAAACACTGCGCCCAATTGAAGGTTGCACTGTGGGCCCCAAAGATACAGGTTGACAGGAGGCCAGGTATTGAACCACTGCCCAGTCCAACACAGGGCTACACAGAGACAAACAACCATGCGCACACTCAGGGGCCTTTTTTAGCATGTTTAAACTAAAGTCAATAGACCTTACATGTTTTTGGACAGTGGGAGTTCCCAGAGGGAACCCACACAGACACAGGGAGACCATGCAAATCCACTATATACATTCCTACCAATGATTGGACGATATATATTGAAAAATCCCAAACTCCTGCACTTTGTTATAGATCACTCAGACAAAAGTGGAAAGACATGACATCTTTTTCACCAACTTACAGTGCCGTTGACAAAGTTGCCCTGGAATCTGTGGCTAGCGTAGATGTACTCTCCAGCTGACTCCATATTGCCGTTCAGCCACATGCCCTTGTACTTTGCCCCAGTTTGGCGGTAGTGGTATGTCCCCTGGCCATGCCTGACAATCACACAACACCAGGGATCTTAGAGGTTTTCAGGTTTCCTCCTCTTCAGATAGAAATGCGTGGTTTTACTAATCTGGATCTCAAAACAGCACATTTCACCTGGGAACTTAAAACCACCTCCTGTTGGAGATCAAAGTCAGCAATTGCAGGAAGTTTTTGGACTTTTTAGGATTCAAAGTTAGCATCAGGTGATTGTTGAGCTATAAATTCACCTTAAGTGGCGCAACCATTCTCCGTCATAAGAGTCTCCGTTAGGATAAGTGTACACACCGTGGCCCTGTCTCTGGTCGTCCTCCCACGACCCTGAAAACCAAATACAGCCAATGCAAGTGTTTCAGGTCACAAATGCCATTTTTTGAACTTCAAATGGGCTCTCAGGATGGTAGATTGGTCCTTAATGAGCTGACCACTTATTTTGGACTAAGATTCACTTGTTTCTGTACCTAAGAATCTACCAAAACTTGTTCATGGACATCACACATCTGGATTGTGGTTAAACCTTTGATGTCCACAGAGGAAAACATTAATTAATATTTGCATTCTTAACATTTCTTACACACAATCATTGCCTGTTTTGGGGTCTCCAAAAAAATCTTAATTTGTCACAAAGCTATTGATTTTTTCTTAAGATGAATAAATGGACATTATGTGTGACATGTTTAACAGTCTTTGGTGCATAAATGAATCCTGATTCTTGAGTAAAGACCGGCTTTACCTTCATATATGGACCCGTCTGGATAGTAAAAGGTGCCCTGTCCATGTTTCATGTTCTGGAAATAATCTCCCACATACCGCGCTCCATTCTTGAATTGATATGTACCCTGTTGGATTAAACAGGGCAAACATATCAACACTTCAGTCCCTCCTTGAGCCCTTCAAGTATAAAAAACATATCAGGAACATAAATGTCTTGTTATCTATACTTTGAAATTCTGTCGTTAAACGAGTGGAAAAAATAAGATAGGGCAAAGAAATTAAGAAACACCATTTACACATATCATGTACTGACTGGTGCCCAAATATATATGTGATGTATGAGTTTAGTAGGGATTTGAATTAACAAGTTCTTACATCCCACCTGCCCATGTCTTTTTCCGTTCTCATACCCTCCCTGGTAAATGTCTCCGTTGGGCAGAGTAGCTTTCCCCTCTCCGTGTCTCTCTCCAGCCTCGTTCCTGCCGCCTTCATATTCCTGTTCAAGTAAAATACATGACAGTTCCAAAATATGAGGTAAATTCAAGTGACAGCCCCAACTCAGCTAGCTAAAAATAAAGCCACCATACGCCTCAGGACGGCTGAACGTTTGACCAAGAAGCCAAAGAAACGCGCAAATAACTTTTTCTCACCCCAAGTTTATTGTTGTCTTCGTCAAAGTCATCGGATCCGATAAAAGACATCGTTAACAACTAGTGTCGGTATATGCCGGTATATGCTTTAACTCTGAAAAAGTATCAGCTTAGCTCAGTCCGTTTTGCTCTGTTTACGGTTGGCGTGGCAACCATATGTGTCATGTGACTAAATATGTACGACGTTATAATTCCCGCTTTTTCAGCTAGCTAAATGTTCGTCTCACTTAATTTACTTAATTTTTTACTTTTTTTTTTTTTGTTGTAATTTTTTAGTTAGTTAGTTAGTTAGTTAGTCTTTTATTTATCAATATATATGGTTTCAGCCCCCTGGGCCTCTAAGGACTTAGGTTTGGCTATGTTTGGCAGGTTTAAGGATAGATAATTATTGTCATGCTCCATCATCTGTCCTACCAAATTCATTCAAGACTACAATCTTCCATGTGAAGTTGCACCTCTGCCCAGTTACCAGCAGTCCGCAGCAGAGAGCCATGTGCTCCTCAAACACTTTTATTTATCTATTTTTGAAGCACATTGGTCATAGCTTTGCCTGGACTCAGACATCAGATGCTTATATCTTTAGATTTTAAAGAGATGCTTCACACACTCAGACAGGAAGGATCTGATGAAAGATATGTCAAAGTGTATTCACTCATTGTATTTACAGCACTCCCAAATTGGATAAAGTGTGTCAGCAGAATTTGAGGAACAGAGTTTGGTTGGTGTTTTGTAAAATACAAATATTAAAAATCTTATACCTTTCCCCAAATTACTGATGGTTGAAGGGAAACAATCGTGTTACATCACCACACTACAGGGGAACTTATCTGTATTTAGTGGGAAAGTTCATGTTGGTACTCTAAATTGAAGTCATACTTATCTCTAACACCATCTTCATCCTAACTGAAAACAGCCTATTGTGAAAGTTGAATAGCATTTCATGTGTTAAAAGCGTGTAAAAACTTAAGTTGATTAAATGAATTGATTTTTAAAAATGATAATGAAATTATAATGAATATAACTTTAGCCCGTAAAGATATACAGAAGTCAAAACCAGGGACTTTATTGTCATCTGGTACGAACAAGCTGGACTACTTGTAAAGATATATTTACCACAATTACGACAAAGGTTTCCTGTTAAAACTTTCAAAGTAAAATCGAAACAAATTCAAACAAAAGAGGGTATTCGTGTGATCTGTTGCTCTAAAATGTTTAAATGATAGCTGTCACATTTGTCAAACATTGAGAGCATAAAATAATTGATCTTTTGAAATCATTTTTATCAATTTAACCTGACCTTATTTTACAATACTATGGACAATGTCTGCCTGTGGTGTCTGTCATGGGTTCGTACAACCAGTGATACTTTTAGATTAACCATCTGTAAATTTTGAGTAATGTAGTTAAATCCCAAAGTAAAAAGTTTGGCAGTACAGACAAAAAAAGCACTATTTGTCAAGGTTGATGTTTTACATCATGAAGTGTGGCTAATCTTGTGGTAACTTCCTCCCAGGGCCACTTACTGAATTTGCC